TACGTCAAAGGTTGGGCATCAGCAGCGTGAATCAACCTGCTCCATCTCGCCTTCCAGCTGGAATAATCCCTGCACGCGATCAACTTAGCGCAAACTCTTCAATTCCTGGCTCTTAGCAGCTCGGCTCCCTCTGCAACCAAGGTTTATAGGGTTTAGGGTTCAGGGCTTAGGGTTCAGGGTCTAGGGTGTACAGTACGTCAGCTGGCAGACGGATTTGCGGATCGCTAGCCTGTTTTTGACCGTCTGACATACTCTTGCGGAAGGAATTGGGGGCAATTGGCTCATGCGCAGTGGCTGCAGGGCGGGAACTGATGGTCCCCTTAGACGCAATGGCATGCGTGCTCTTCGCAGGGGGCTTTGTAGGAGAATGCGAGTGTCCATCCTTACTCTCTCCTTAATCAAGACGAGGCAACTAAATCGGAGGGACTCCCCAACAGTGGCGGATGCACGGTAAAAGCACAACTTCCAGGGTTACATGCAGACGCAATCCTGTTGTATTACCTATCGCCTGTCAGCACCAAAGTCATGAGGTAGGTACTCTTCGTTGCCCTTAGTTGGAGAACGTACTTGAAGGTTCATGGGCATTATAAGTACCCGAACTAGGATGGGCTATTCGGCCCTATAATCCCCACAGTCAACCCTGCAAAGGGCCGTTTTCAGGGTTTACAGGGCATCATAGCCCAACCCCAACCCCTCCCCCCCCGGCCCGCCCCACCTTCCAGACAGCACCCCTTACGCCAGAAACACTGGAATTACCCTGCTTGGAGGTTCATAGGTGCTTATAACCCCAATTGTATCCTTCTTAGAGGACTTAGGGGACTTAGGGGGCTTAGATACAGATATTATTGGGGTCAGAAGCATCCTCAACCTTGAAGTAGGAGCCTTGGAATTACCCTGGAAGTGGGAGGGTGCGTGAGTAGGGGGGGGGGGGGGGGGGTGCCTAAACCCTAAACCCTAAACCCTAAACCCGACACCCTACACCCTAAGCCCTAAGCCCTAAACCCTAAACCCTAACCCTGGGAGAAAAAAAAAAAAACTCGCCTGAGCAGCTGCAGCTGCCTCGGCTTCGCCTCCAGGGTTTCTGTTTAAGGATTGGGGGTTTGGGGGTTTAGGGGTTTAGGGGTTTAGAGGTTTAGGGGTTTGGGGGTTTGGGGGTTTAGGGGTTAGGGGGTTTAGGGGTTTAGGGGTTTGGGGGTTTGGGGGTTTAGGGGTTTAGGGGTTTGGGGGTTTAGGGGTTTAGGGGTTTAGGTAGGGGTTTAGGGGTTTAGGTAGGGGTTTAGGGGTTGAGGGGTTTAGGGGTTGAGGGGTTAGGGTTTAGGGTTTAGGGTTTCTGGTTTAGGGTTGGAGTGTTAAGGGTTTGGGGGTTACTCCAGGTTTCGAGTTTAAGGATTAGGGGTTTGAGGCTTAGGGGTTTGGGGTTTGGGGGGGGTCTACAGTTCAACCGCCCGCAGCTTTCATCCAGACGTGGACCTGAAGCATTCTCAGACAAACCTCAAACCCAAAATCCCAAACCCTAAACCCTAAATCCTAAACCCCAAACCCTAAACCCTAAATCCTAAACGCTAAACCCTAAACCCCCGAAAGTCCCTCACGTGCCTGGCTCTGCAGCCGATTCCGCATGTCATCCTGGGAGTTGAAGACCTGGGTAAGGCTTGAAGGGTTGTTTAGGGTTTAGGGTTTAGGGTTTGGGGTTTAGGGCTTAGGGTTTAGGGTATTTGTTGGGTATTTTGGGCTTCTTCTTGGTTCAGGGGGGCAAACTTCGGGACGTAGGGTTTGGTTTTTTGGGTTCAGGGGTGGTTGACAGGGCGCCGCCTTCGCTCTTTGCTGAAAGAACCCCTCCCCCCCCCCAACAAAAAAAGCAACATACTCAAGGGTGGTATTTGCCCGATTCATCAAACTCTTTTAGCACCGCCGCTGGAAACAAACAACATTCCTAAGTACGCCACCCTGTACGAGGGAAGGAAAAGGATCAGTTGCAATGAGTTGGCTGCCCCAACCCCTAAGATAAGGGAGCCATATAACCCTATCATAGTCACATCTTTGTTTGTTTTCTTTGGGCGGGGGGGGGGGGTTGAAATCAACCCAGCCACCCCCGCCCACCCCACGCATCTCTATCCGAACCCGGGCACATCCGTCTTGAAGATGCTCCCCTGCTGCTGCACACGCACCTGGCAGGATCTCTTCATGGTTCTGCAATGAAGGGTCTGGGTTTACTTGGAGGTTCAGGGCACTTAGAACCCCAATTATAACTGTAATTACTTAGAAAACCCCCTAAGTCCCCTAAGTCCTCCATATTCTATATATATATATACGTAGATTTATGGTTGGGGTTCTAACTACCTATGAACCTCCAAGTAGGGTTTGAGCGAACCGGGAGCAGTGCCGGCTGACTCGAAACTGTACCAAGCGAAACCACCATGATCAGAAATCTACGGACACGCCGTGTGCAGGCTTCCTGCGCGGTATTTTTGCCTCTGCCGCAGGGAGTAGTGATTAGTACTTTCGGCAGCTTAGTCAAAATCAGGATCTCAGATGTTGCGGTTCGGGCAAGCCGAGTTCAATTGCATACAAGTCTGGCGGGGGTGGCTTGTTTTCTTCAACCGGTTGCCTGAGCCCTGAACCCTAAGCCCTTCAGTTCTACATCCAAATTACGGATAACTGCGTCTGACCACCCCACACCACCACCCAAGTCCAAGTGCTCAAGGGACGAAAAGAGGGACCCTTGTAAGGGACCTTCGGGGCAATGCATGTAGAGCTGCTTAGGGGCTACTTAATAATATTGGGACTATATAAGGTGTGTATACAGCGGTGTTATAGGGCCCAATAAGATTAAGAGTCCCTTCTGCTTTACTCCCCCTAGAATCTGAATGAAAATGACATGTTTAATATCCTCATACCAAGACTACTACAAAAAACTCAAGAGGGATATAGATTAAGAGGTCCCTCATTTCCATGGTCGGCACCTGCACGCGCCCTATCTCCGCGAGCTGGCGCAGAATGCCCTCCGGATCGTTCGAAACACCTCCGTAGCAAGTGGTACAACTCGGAGTGACCCTAAACCGTAAACCCTAAACCCTCAACCCAGAACCCTAAACCCTGAACCCTGAACCCTAAACCCTAAACCCTAAACCCTAAACCCTAAACCCTGAACCCTGAACCCTGAACCCTGAACCCTAAACCCTAAACCCTGAACCCTAAACCCTAAACCCTAAACCCTAAACCCTAAACCCTGAACCCTGAACCCTAAACCCTAAACCCTGAACCCTGAACCCTAAACCCTAAACCCTAAACCCTGAACCCCGAACCCTGACATGCTGCAGTGAAGGTCGAATCGGTTGAATCGGGTCAAACAAGCTGCCAGTGTGGGCTTGTAGGGTATTTAGGGGCATTCGGGCTTTGGGAATTAGGGTTTTAGGGCTGCTGTTTTTTTTTTTTCCCGCGATTTTAGGGCTTCAAACTCAGGGCTTTAGAACTTAGGTGCTTTTTGTTTAGGGCGTGGGGCTTAAGGTCTCGGATGAAAGCACACAAGCCATCAAGGGAGTCATACTCCGACCCCTAAGAGGTTCCCTTCATCAACTAGTATCCCTAAACCCTAAACCCTAAACCCTAAACCCTAAACCCCAAATCCTATAGACCTTTTTTGGGCTTCGGGGCGAGCAAAGCGGGGCTCTCATATGGCGAGGCTCCATTGGCTTCGATGATCCAGTCCCCAGGGTGCAGGCAGACATCCGTGCTCGGATCCTTCCTGGGGAGGGGGTCAGGGTTTGGGGTTTAAGGATTGTTTAGGGCTTAGGGTTTAGGGTTTAGGATTTAGGGTATGGGGTTTGGGATGGGGTTTGCAGGGTCTAAACCCTAGACCCTAAACCCTAAACTGAAACCTTAAGCCTAAACGTCATCCTCTGACACCCCAAATTAGGGAAGATAGACAAAGGTATCCCTAGGGACCCTTCGTTCCATCGTTTCTATTGGGGTTGAGGTTTTCTTACAGTGTGAAGGGTGCAGGGTTCCGGGTTTCGAGTCCAGTGTTCAGGGTTCAGGGTTTAGGGGCCCCCAAACTTCCCTAAACCCCGAAACCCTAAACCCTAAACCCTAAATCCTAAACCCGAACCTCCCCCTTTGTTTTTGGTACCGAGCTCACTACAACAGTAGGTGCGCCCGCACAAGGAGCTGCAAGGATCCTTGGGTCGCCCCTTACAAAAGTGCGGGTAAGAATGGGACTCAAATTCAGGGTTTAGGGTTTAGGGTTTGGGGTCCTAGGGTTTAGGGTGCAGCATCTCCCAAAAAGGATTTTACAGGGTTTCGGGTCCCGACATCCCCAAGCCGTTTGGAGTTCGGGGTTTAGGGTTTAGGGTTCAGGGTTGACCTGAGCTGTCTAGGTAGGGCCGTGGCTGTTGCAGGTTCAGCGTTTCTCAATGAAGGGCGACCCGAGCTTCATCTACAAAACCGCTCGAGGTCTTAGGGTCCAACCCTAAACCCTAAATGCTGGTGTGAACCAGCAGGCTGAGCAGGAGGCACTAGTGGAGTAGCTAATTCCCCAGTCCCATCCCTTTCCCCAGCAGACATGGCTCACACAACGGGCGGAGTAACTCTTTTACACAAGCGGGCAACAACAAAACAGCAAAGTCTTGAAGGATTGCTATGCTATGCGCTACAGTGAGGCGACGGCGCTACAGTATATACATACATTAAAATGTGCTATGCTCAAGGCGTTCTGTGCTTGGGCCTAGGAGCAACAGGAAAACAACGAGCTACAACCAGACATGTGCAGGTACTACGCTTCCACACTCCTCCTTCGCTCCTTCGCCAGGAGGAAGCGACAATCAAAAACCTGTACATGTCCGTCCCTTCCGGGAGGAGGTACAAGCTCCTACGGAAGAAAGGCTGTAGCTGGCCGGACAGCCTCACTGTGTAGAGGGCTCTCAGGGCACCTCTTGTGCGGAAAAGGGCAAAATGCGGCATGAATGCACGATGAGATGTGCATCCAGCCCGTCAGGGCGGAGTAGTACCTACCCTGTGCTGCGCGTGGTGTGATCTGGCGCACGCCGGTGGCACCGCTGACACACCTCAAATGTGCAAAGATTGGATGACCTTGCAATTGCAGGACAGTCCTTGGTGCGATGGAGCTTCTCCCCCTCAGGGGTTGCAAAGAAACGAGTTGGTGCTTCATCGGCCTGCCTGGTGGAAGCTAGCGCATTCCTCCCGGAAGCGGTCGCAAGACGCTGTGAGGAACTGGCCGCTGCTTCCCTCTCAGAGATTTCTGCCCGGATTGCTTGCTCCGTGCGGTCCCGAAGACGCTGCAGCTTGCGTGCCTTTCGCGGGCTTAGCGGCACACTGCTCGTGCCGAAGGCTCTGCGTGACAAGAAGGCAAAACCCCACTTCAGAAACTCCCATAAACCAATGGCACAAAACGCGATACCGAAAATGCAAACTGCAAGCATCAGGTCGGCGTCTAAGGGAACTGGAAGCAACATGTCTTCGGGCTCTTCATCCTGCTGGCTGGCGGCACCTACGACTTGCAAAAAGACAGACAGCATGAATACCGCACAAACAGGATGATCACGTTTGCGGAACAGGTAAAACCCTGGCATGCCCCAACAAACTGCTGTCACAAGGCCATCTGCTGCTGCAGCTAAACGCACAGTCGTGAGCAGCACACGTGCTGCAAGGGGTTGTTGGGACTCCTCCTGGACAGGAGGCTCCGGCACGACACCGCTCAAACCCCACAACCTAACGCACTGCTCCTCCTCGACCCAGTACGGTACTGGAGTGCCTGAAGCTGCTGCGGGCGGGTTCCGGACACCAGGGCACGGTGCAAACACTGCGCCACGCACGCCAAGCAACAACAGACACAATAACAGCAGCTGAAAAAGGAGGTTTGCCGTCAGACGTTGGCGTGCGACGCGGGTCCCGCCCTCCCGGGGGGAGGTTGCTGGAACTGCAACACTGCTGGGCACTGTGGTTTCGTGCTCTCCTCCTGGCCTGGTGGCTAGGTCCTGGCAGTTTGTGGGCTGGACCTCACGCAGCCCAAACATGCAAAACCCACCAAAACCATCTAAACTAAACCTGCCCGGACAACACGGCAGTGGACCTGACACCTGCGCAGGCCCATCTCTTCCGAGCGGCGAGAGTGGCAGACGAGTCCAGTCCAAATCATAGATGCTTGAATCCCCATCACCATCAAGCTGGTATCGTGTGGGGTTGTCGTCACACTCATCGTCGGCGTCCAACCTGAACCAAATGGTTGAGGACTGCTGCAGGCACACTTTGGGATCCAAAATCTGGGTCCCACAAACCCCCTTTTTTGGCTCCAAAAGGGGGGTTTGCCCTGGCCAAATGGGCGCGGTCATTTGGGCACTTATTCCATGTCCCCACCCTGGGTTCAGACTTGGACTTACGTGCTCATCCTGCCCTCCAAGGGGCAAGCCAAAGGCCTGAAGTGCTTTGGCTATGACGAGGGTTGAAGAGACCTCGTTTGCAGTGCGGTTTGCAAACGTGCTGCGTGCGTTTTTACGCTGAGCCTCCAACTCAGCGATTAGCGTCAATGCCCTATCATGCTCAATCACAGGGCAACCGTTCTGAACCCTCAACGTGGTGAGCTCACCCTCAGGGGAACGCAAGAAACACTCATCAGCTGTCCAACCCAACATGTAACCCAACCGCGTGACGAGCTGTCCCAACGGCACAATTGCAGCTGGCAGCCCATCCCTCCCGGGAGGCGTGAGTATCACCCCGTGTTTGGTGATGCGCATGTGTGACGCGTGGCCCCCCGCTAAACCCACCTCCACCTGCTCTGCCTCGAGCCACTCCTCCTGTGACGATGCTGGTCTTAAAGGATGCGTTGCGCCGGAATCTACCAAACCGAACACGTTCACACCCTCAGGCTGACTGTTGGGCGAGTTTGTAGGGTTGCACGTGGGGCAGTGGATCGTCAAGCTCTGCATAGAGGGATTCCGGGCCGCATCACCTCCCGATGCTTTGACTGAAACTTCTGCCCTTTCGTTGGCCTCTACCTGCCTAATGGCCCTTAGCGCCTCTTGCACGAACTCGACCATGCTCGCGTTCACCGGAGTTGCAGGCACAATGGGTTGAGACGCGGGTGAAGTGGATGACACGGCAGCTGAGTCGGACTCACGAATGGGGTCAGCTGCTTGACGTGTTGGCGTTGACGGTTGGGCCGTTGAGTCCTGCGTAGCCTTGCCAGCTTTGCAATCTCTTGCACGATGCTCCTCTGACCCGCACGCCAAACACTTCTTGTCCCTTTCAGTTTTGGGGAGTTCACTCATGTTGTGGGCAAATTTGCACTTGGGCCCACTTCTACACCCTTTGACAGTGAGGAAGAACCTGCATGGCTTTGCCCCGCCTCCCCCAGCGCCTTTCCCGGAAGGTCGGTTTCCACCACCTGATGCGTCGGCGGCTGCATTCAACACCTGGACCTTGGGATTGGGATCTACCTTTTTTGCATCTATCCCCCCAGCCATGGTTTCAAACTCAGCCAACAGGTGTTTGTGGTAATCCAGAACCTCATCTCCCGATGGGTGCAGATCAATGTGCAACGCGCTGCGCACGCACTGCGTCCGGAACTGGACATCGGCGTTTTCGGCTATGTGCTGGGCAGTCACAGTAGTCAACCCACGGGCCAAGATCGAAGGATCCGGGGCAACCATACCACACTCCAAACAACGGCGATGCCAACGACCCCACGATCTCAACAGACTCACTCCGGCTGCCACGTCCTCAAACGGCGGTGGGTCGTGCAAGTTCCTGAGTATCAGATCACGCTCGCTGGTTCCACCAGGCTGGTAAATCGTGTGCAAGCGGTACATGATGTGCGCTGCGTTTTGCGTTGCCCTGCGTGCTATAATGTCTGCTTTGACGGACGCGTCCAACGACTCCAACAACATGGCACATGCCCTGGCATTCACACGCGACCACTTGCCCTCAACAATCTCCGTCCTGTCATCCGGGGCCACTCTCAACCGCTCCACGGGGGACGAAGTGCTCCAACAGGCAAAGGCATCACGCGCCAACTGCAAGACGCTTGTCCACCAAAGCTGCGACGAATCCGACAAGTCTGTCATCAATCCGCTGACCAACTCAAGCCAATCCTGGAACTCCAAAGAACCACCTGACGGGTTAGGGGCAACAAGTTTGGGCAGCGTTGTGATGCCTGGTTTCACTGCTTCAGGGGCGTCGTCACCTTTGACCTTGAGCTGCTGAGCTTGCAAGCTTTGCAGCTGCTGCACCCCCAAAACCAATGCGTCCACAACTGAATTTGGCACCTGAGCTGCAGCGGCGGCTGAAACCTGAGAACCTTGAGTGTCGGGCACCTGCCCGACCCTCCCGGGCGGCGTTTGGCCTGCAGTGCTGGCAAAACCGCCTGAAACCTGACGATTTGCTGGAATCTGCGACAAACCCATGTTTTTGGGCCGAGAATGTGGACTTGCGCCGGAATTGGCCCCTTCAGCCCTCATCTGCCCCAGACCTAGGGTTTCGGGCTGGAAAGTGGGGTCTGGGCCAGAAGAGGCCCTGTGAGTACCTGGCACCTGTGCAACCTGGGCAGATTGAGCCATGGGCTCACGCACATGCCCAGCCCTTCCGGGTGGGGTTGCATTGCTGGGCAACCTTTGCGAACCCTGCAAACCCGACCACAAATTAGACCAAAACCCTGATGCAGACGCAGGCGCCCTCAATGCGTCCATCGCCTGCAAGGTGGCATCCTGCACCTGATGGGCAAGAGATGGTGCTGGCAGAGGGGCCTCAACATGCGCATGAGCGGCAGTAGGGATTAGAGGTGGGCCACTTGGGGTCTGTGCTTGCATTGACACTACTTCCCGCGTGGACCTCTCTCTCTGCTCACTCCTCTCAAGTAGCTGCCTCAACCTCTGATTCTCCACCTCCTGCGCCTGGGCTCTAGCCTCAAAACCTGCAAGCTGCCTGGCAACCTCTGCTTGAATTGCCTCTTGAGGGAGCGACGACGACTCGGTACGGCTCGAGGGGCGTTCAGGGGCTGCAGATCTAGGGTAAAGGAGTGGGGCCCTTTGCTCAAGCGCTTGCATGCGTTGCAGCAACTCGGCATTGAGTAATGGGGATTCCCTCCCGGGCCCGGGGCCTAAAGTGGTGGGTGTGCCGATTGAGTCCGGCTGCGGCGGCGAAGCACTTGACCCAACACTCCCATCTCCCAAAGCCCTCACCCTAGACACTGCTCCAGGGCTTGCACGTGTGTGGTGTGGTGGTGACTGGGCCTGCACCTCAGTCCTTGCCACACGGAAAAACTCAGAAACACGAGACATGAAAACACCAGGAATGCCTTCAACCATTTCGGAGATAGCGGGCAAACCCTGTGAACGTGGGGTCATGAACCCCTCAACTCCAGCGGTCTCACCAGTTGACCTTATGCCCCCCAAACCCCTGTCACCACCTTGGTCTGTAACCTGACGGTCGTCACCCAAGGTGTCCTGACGCAGGATGGTGTTGGCCTCTGGTCCTGGACTTCCGTCCGGAGGTTGCACTGCTTGTGGCATGCTTCGGGGCATACCGTGCAATATCCCACCCTCAGGGGTGGTCGACGCATGCTGCACGCCTTCTGCTGGGTCTATACTAGCACGCGCCCTTCCCGCAGCCATATCCACAAAACCCAAACCACCCTCAATGCCGGCGGTGGGTGCATCAGGCGTTGCGGAATGCATATGCTCTTGCAAACCATCCCTCCCGGGAGGTTGGGATGATTGCGGCGTCACGGTGCCGTAGCCCTGCGTTGGGCTCATAACCTGCTGGTGTGAACCAGCAGGCTGAGCAGGAGGCACTAGTGGAGTAGCTAATTCCCCAGTCCCATCCCTTTCCCCAGCAGACATGGCTCACACAACGGGCGGAGTAACTCTTTTACACAAGCGGGCAACAAAACGAACAGCAAAGTCTTGAAGGATTGCTATGCTATGCGCTACAGTGAGGCGACGGCACTACAGTATATACATACATTAAAATGTGTTATGCTCAAGGCGTTCTGTGCTTGGGCCTAGGAGCAACAGGAAAACAACGAGCTACAACCAGACATGTGCAGGTACTACGCTTCCACAGTAAACCTTAAACCCTAAACCTGAGATTCAGAAGCCTACATTCTAAACCCTAAACCCTAAAACCCTTTAGAAATCGGTGTGTTAGGAGGGTTTCGGAGGGCATTCCCCAGAGACCCAGACCCTCCGTTTCGACTTCCTCCTTCGGGAGCCTTTCATGTTCTTCCAGCTAACCATAGAATTAGGGACTCCCCTCGCCCCAAGTAATGTTTAGGGTTTAGGGTTCAAGGTTCTGCAATGAGGGTTCTGGAGTTAGGATTAGATTCTGGGTATTAGGCTTGCTACTGCAGTCGTGTTCTGTCTGCGGCAACGTCAGGCCTGCAAACAAAAATGTCGTGTTCCCTTAGCTCCTAAGTTCTGAAGAAACAAGGGGAGTTCTTGGACGCATGATTTTGGCCTAAGTAAACTGCTGCTGCGTATCCATTTCGCAGCCACGCCCACGTCGTCGCGAACGACGACTTTCCCGTCGTCGTTCACAAAGAATGTGTCCTCCGACCATCACCCCTGGACCCTGTACGCTCTAAACCCTAACCCCTAAACCCCTGAGCCCCCTAAATCCTAAACCCTTGAGCCCTGAGCCCTAAACTAAACCCTAAACCCTATACCCCTGAGCCCTAAACCCTAAACCCACGCTTGCGCATTGCAGTGGCCCAAGCTGGCGGAACGGGTTTCGAAGTGGATCTGGGATTAGGGTTTAGGGTTTGGGGTTTAGGCTTTTGGCATGTGTTTGGCCGTTTTCAGGTGCTTGGGGCCTTTCGGCCGTTCGTGGAGTATGTCTTCTTGCAGCGTTTCGACACATTCACGGCGAAATTCCAAGAACGTGTACGATGGCGCGAAACAAGCCCAACTCGGATTGCTGGGAACCCTAGACCCTAAACCCAAGACCCAAAACCCTAAACCCAAAGTATGCGGGACACTGAACAGGAAGCCATGATGTGATTGCAAGTCCGAAAGTTTTAAGTGCCTGGCTCAGGGCTAGGTCTTTTGCACTTAAGCTTCTAAAGCCTAAGCTCAACCTCGAGTACGGGCCACGTACTTCAAAAAGGCATCCTAGTAGAATGGCGTCTCCCAAACCCCTAGAGAGCCAGGGATACATGAATCGCCGCGCACACCCGGTCCGCAACGGAAGGGCCGGTAGCCGAACTCTCGATGGCCACCTGTAGCGTAGAGGTTCGAGCTTCACATGATACCTGCACATATCTTCTTCTACACAAATAGTTCACTCAAAAAGTAAAATGACACATATATGCATATGATTCATCTCTGTACATAAGTGTGTAGCTGTTGTTCCTTTGTCGTGTTGGCTTGCTTGCCCCGCTCATTCACAAGGGGGTCTAGGGGCTTAAAACCCTAAACCCTCAACCCTGAACCCTAAACCCTAAACCCCAAACCCCAAACCCTAAACCCTCCCTGGGTTTTGGGCTTGCAAGACAAAGAAAGCCTAGTCTCTATAAGACCCCACCCGCTATTTCGGATCAAGCCCACCCCTCACCCCTCCAGATTCTCAGAAGCTACTCCGTGACTCCAGTACGGAGGGCTGACCATCTGGCACATGAGCCCTTAGGGTTTAGGGTTTAGGGTTTAGGGTTTAGGGTTTAGGGTTTAGGGTTTAGGGTTTAGGGTTTAGGGTTTAGGGTTTAGGGGTCAGGGCCAGGGTTGTGGTAAGGCACGAGTCTCTCACACTTGAGCTTTCCTGCGTGGCCTTCTGATCTTGGCATTCCCCAGAGTTTACCACAGCAAGAGGGCGGTCTTTTCGGTTCTAGAGTGGGGTTTGGGTTAAGGGTTTAGGGTTTAGGGTTTAGGGTTTAGGGTTTAGGGTTTAGGGTTTAGGGTTTAGGCTTTAGGCTTTAGGCTTTAGGCTTTAGGGTTTAGGGACCTCAAACTCTCAGCCCCAGATGTGGGCCTCCTTGCCCGCAAGGGGTGTCTGAAGGTTCAAAGAATACTTTCAGGCTCGAACGCCCCTGAGACACTCAAAACCCCTCGCCTCCAGCCTAGCCCGAACTAAACCCTAAACCCTAAACCCTAAACCCTAAACCCTAAACCCCTAAACCCCTAAACCCCTAAACCCCTATTTTAAACCCCTAAACCCTAAACAAACCCAGGCCTGGTACTCCTTGAAGATCAGGGTCAGCGGAAAGCTGTCAGCCGCAAGGTCGGCGATCAGCTTGTCGGCTGATCTTGGATATCTGATCTGCACCTCGGGTTTAGGGTTTAGGGTTTAGGGTTTGGGGTTTAGGGTTTCGGGTTTCGGGTTTAGGGTTTGGGGTTTAGGGTTTAGGATTTGGGGTTTAGGGTTTGGGGTTTAGGGTTTAGGGTTAGGGCTTCCAAAGCAGGGGTTCGTAGAGCAGTTACATGGTCCCTTGATATGGGCCCTTAGGTGGAGACCCTAGCATACACCCTTCATTGCCCCATAGGTCCCAAGGGCCCATACTTCAGAAGCCTTTAAAGAAGGTAAGGGACCACAACTAGCGACCACATAGCTATCCTTAGGGGGGCTGCTATTTGCTTAAGAACCCCAACAAAAAAACAAAACAACCCCCCGTACTACCCTTATAAGGAAGAATGTCTTTATTTTTTTGTGGGAATCTTTAAATACGAGGGGATGGGGCGAGGAGTGGAGCTGGCCATCATCCCAGGTTCCGGGTAGGGGGGTACGTGGCTCTAGACACAAAAGACAAAAAGCTCTCACCTCGACAGGGCGTAGGCCCCCCCAAAATACGGTTTAGGGTTTAGCGCTATTAGGGTTTAGGGTTAAGGTCAAAGGTGTAGGGTTTGGGTTTAGGGCCGGAGAAGCTCTGGCTCAGACTCCCCACCTCCCAGGCAAAATGAGCCCAGATACCGGATACTGGTCTTCGAGGGGCTCGGCATCTTGCACAACCTCCTCGCCACCTGCTTGGATTGGAGGTACTTATGGGCACGGTGCCATAGACAACAGGTATAGGGGACAGACGAGGATAGCATTGCTAACCTAAACCCTAAACCCTAAACCCTAAACCCTGAACCCTAAACCCTAAACCCTAAACCCTATACCCTAAGAAAAGGGAACCTCAAAGAACCCAAAAACAAGTTTGCATGCAGGGTTTAGGGTTTTACGGTTTAGGGCCCCTAAACCCTAAACCCTAAACCCATGAACCCTAAACCCTAAACCACCCTAAACCCTAAACCCTAAACCGTTTCAGGGTTTGGGAGTCGCGGGTAATGCTAACCCAAATCGTAGAACCGCTTCGAGTTCCTTTCCCTGAAAGGTCATTTGCTCAGAGCTTGGGCGCAGAGAGCTCCGTGACCCCAGAACCGCAGCTCTAAACCTTCTACGCCCACATCGGCCTTAAGAACAAAAGAAGCTAAACCCTAAACCCTGAGCCCAGAACCCTAAACCCGAAACCCTATCAATCCTAAACACCCCAGTCGCCCTAAGCTCCCGAGAGAGCGACCTAAACCCTAAACCCTAAACCCCAAACCCTAAACCCTCCCAAAGCGCCTACAGCCGTCACCAGGACCTTTTGCCGCCACTCTTCTTGAGGAGGGAGGCTGGTGAACCTTAGTGGCATTTAGGGTTTCGGGTTCGGGATTCAGGGTTCAGGGTTTAGGGTTAAAGGTGATTTGAATTCCAACAAGTCGGGGGGGGGGGGGGGTGGAGGGAGGGGTATATAGTATCAAAGCAAGCCACAAAAACGCAAAGCAGGGCAACTGGCGGAACCCTGTGCTTACGGCCTCTCTGCTGAGACTGTAAACCCTAAAAGCCATGAAGCCCAGACCCGAAGTCCCAACCCCCATAACCTTAAACAAAAAAAGCGCTGAACCCCTAACATTATCCCTAAAACCGAAACGCCCCCCAAAAAGGCCCTTTAAAACCTAGAGCAACCCTTTAAAAAGGCCCTTGAACCAAAAAAAACTTCACAAGCCGAAACGCCTCCTGAAAAAGACCTTAAAAAAGCCTAAAGCAACCCTTTTAAAACGGCCCTTTAACCAACAAAAACCTTCGCAAGCCGATACGCCGCTCCGCCAGAAGATTCCAGAGGCCGCCCTTGTCCCTGGCTCGCTCCTGGGTTTCCTGCAGCGGGGGTCCTTAGGGTTTAGGGTCCATAAGACCCCTAGGGTTTAGGGTTTGGGGGTTGGGGGTTAGGGTTTAGGGTTTAGGGTTTAGGGTTTAGGGTTTAGGACTTGGGGTTTACGGGTCTAGGGCTCGGGGTTTAGGGCTTGGGGTTTAGGCTTTAGGGGTCTAGGGGTTAGGGGTTTAGGGTTTTCTGGGGGATCCCTTAAGGGGAATCTATTCTATTTGGGGTATAAAAGCAGTACTTCGAGGTTTACGTTGATATTTTTCCCAGCTTATATGTCTACTTGTCACCTACTTCGAGGACTTAGGGGACTTGTAGGTGCGGTTATACTTGGGGCTATAAGTACCCTGAACCTCCAGGTACTGTTTAGGGCTTAGGGACGGTGTTTAGGGGCTTAGAGTGGTTCAGGGCTTAGGGTTCAGGGTTTAAGGTTTCAGGCTTTTTTGGGCTATTATGTTTTTGGTTTTTGGGGGCTTTTGGGTGTTTGGGTTGGGCTTCAGGGCCTCCAACGGGGCCCGCCTGGTCTCTTTTTGTAGCTCCTCGTCTCGTTTTTCTTTCGAAAAAAGGGCGCCTGAAGAGTTATGCTTCAGGGTGCTTCAGGAGCTGGTGAGCAGTAGCTAAACAGGGCTGCTTAGGGGTTTATAGGAGTTTAGGGGTTGGGGGCCCCTAAGCCCTAAACCCTAAACCCTAAACCCTAAACCCTAAACCCTAAACCCTAAACCCCACGCCTGGAACGCAAACATCGTGAAGAGCTTGGTGAGCTGGCCACTCTGCACCCGCGCGATGAACTTGTTCCCTGCTTGTGAGTGAGGGTTTAGTGTTTAGGGTTTAGGGTTTAGGGTTTAGGGTTTAGGGTTTAGGGTTTAGGGTTTCGGGTTTCGGGTTTCGGGTTTAGGGTTTAGGGTTTCGGGTTTAGGGTACAGTGAGGCCTACAACTATGTGGCAACCTCAAAGCTCAGAAATGGGGCCCTAAACTTGAAACCCTGAAACCCCCACACGCTAAACCCTAAGTCCTAACATCACGCCTGCTGTGCAGCGCGGCGCAAAACCAAACTTTCACGCGACTTTTTGTGCGTTCGCACTCCGGTTTTGGTGATCGCCCTATAAAAACCCATATTTCTGGGCCCTACAAATCCCTTTCAACCCCTACATGAACCCCCATAACCTCCTCGTGCTTACCCCATAAACGCCCCATGTTTCTAAACCCCCCACAAAACCTATTAAAACCAGTCCGAACCCCTAGAAGCCCTTGTTTCAACCCTAAACCCTAAACCCTAAACCCTAAACCCTTAACCCCCGCGTGGCCAGCGGCTACTCTTGCAGCCCCGGCCTTCCCCGGAACGCTCTATGCCGTGTTGACGGAGCGTATCGTCCAGAACCTGGCTCTAAAGGCTTGTACTTTGAGGGTTTAGGGTTTAGGGTTTTGGTCCTAGAGACTCCCTGGAGTGCTTAACCCCAAAATCTTGCTGGAGTGCCAACCCCAGAGTCTCCTGGAGTGCCCAACCCCAGAGACTGCCTGGAGTGCCCTGGAGTGCCCAACCCGATTGACTCCCTGGAGTGCCCAACCACAGAGACTCCCTGGAGTGCCCAAATCCAAATCCCCAAGGTGGGGAATTTCCAAGTAAAACAAATTAGTCAATATAATTTAGTTAATATAATGGTTTTGACCCTACGTGGAGGTTCAGGGTACGTACAGTAAACCGTTTAAAGAATTTTAAAGAATCCCAAGAAAAGGCAAAGGGACCTTTGACTATAGGGGTCTAGGTCCACGATTGAGTTTACGGGGCTTCTGGGGTGTAAATGTTATGGCGCTTAGCGCCTAAGTAGGGATTGCAGGACCCTAAACCCTAAACCCTAAACCCTAAACCCTAAACCCTAAACCCTAAACCCTAATGGGAGCGGAGGCTGCACCTGCAACCAGTTGTCGGAGGCGCGGATGGTCGCATCCGCTAGCCGCGAGAAGACCAGGCGGCCCACCCGGGCATCGTAGTCCTGAATGTTATGGTACAAGGGGGGTTCAGGGTTTAGGGTTTAGGGTTCAATTTTCAATATTATATGGATATATACCTTATATAGTCCAGTAGCCCCTAAATAACCCCAAAAAAATGACCCCTGAGGTCCCTGATGAGGGTCCCTCCTTTCGTCCCTTCTGTAGGAGGGGGATTACTTGGGATGTTGCCCCTCAGACTAGCAGTCCTGAATAGGGATTATAGTACCCCCTACTATAATCCCTACTAAGGACTGCTAGTGTAAGGGTGAACATCCCAATCGAGGGGGCTTACCCTGAACCGCTGCCCCTACCTGTGACACCTGAACCCTACGAATTAGTAGGGTTCGAACCCCATAAATATAGGGCATAAGCCCCCAAGAGAATAGGTAATGGAGCCCCTAGGGTTTAGGGTTTATTTAGGGTTTAGGGTTTAGGGTTTAGGGCTTAAGGTTTAGGGTTGAATTTTATGGATGAACCCCAAACCGGTGTCGAACATCACCACCCTGATGTTGGATGGGCAGCTCGGATTGGGCAGGGATGCGCCAGGGATATTCCTCCCCGAAGGATGTCTCTATACCATAAATCTGACTAAGCTCAACACCCGAAGGCCTTGAATCAACAACTCTAAATCTCTCAACCTAAACTCTGAATGAACCCTCAACCTTAAACCCTAAACCCTAACCCCAAACCCTAAACCCTACACCCTAAACCCTAACCCTAAACCCTAAACCCCCCAAACTCTGCACCCAAGTCTGCAAGCCAGAGGGCTGCGCGGATGACCACGCGGCAGGTCGGGCATCGGGGCAGACCCACCTTGCTGGGATAGGTTTCTGAGGGTGTTGGGGGTTTAGGGTTTAGGGTTTAGGGTTTAGGGTTTAGGTTTTAGGGTTTAGGGTTTGGGGCACTCAGGGTGCGGCATTCAGGGGTGTGGGGGGGGTTTTATTTCGGAGTTTGGTAAAGGGTGTTTTGTTGAGTTCGGGCACTTCGCAGACCCCCCCCCCCCCTGAAAGGATCCAAAAAGTAGATCCCCTTACAAGAGTAGCAAAGGGTTTAGGGTTTAGGGTTTAGGACTGAGGGTTTAGGGTTTTGGGTTTTGGGTTTAGGGTTTAGGGTCCCCTTAAGGGTTCCCAAGAATGACCCAATAGTAGAAAAGGCTGCTATTTGGGGGTTCTACCTGTTGGATCCTCCCACAGGTTTGGGTTTGGGGAGGGCTTTCGGATTTCAAGGGAGATGTGAGGGAGCTTAGCTTAGGGTTTGAAATAGTTAGGGTTTGGGACTTTGGTAGGTTAACCCTACGACCCCAAAACACTAAAACCCTAAAAGCCTAAAACCCTAAACCCCTAAACCCGAAAACCCAAAACCCTAATCCTAAACCCTAAACCCCCAAATTGTCACAAAGAAAAAACAAACACTATATATATATATATATACATATATATATATGCACACATATTATGTAGATATACATATATAAGAATAAACAAACCGCGCCTTGGACAAGCTGGCTGCCAGGGTCCGGTCCCAACACCTCTGGCCTGGGATTTAGGGGTTAGGGTGTAGGGATTGGGGTTTAGTGTTTAGGGTTTGAGGTTTGGGATTCAGGGTTTAGGGTTATGTAGGGTTTAGGGTTTAGGGTTTGGGGTTTGGGATTTAGGGTTTAGGGTTATGTAGGGTTTAGGGTTTGGGGTTTAGGGTTTCAAGTTTGGGGTGGGTTTCGGGCTTGGGGTTTAGGACGTACAGGGTCTATGAGCTTAAGGGTGTATAGGGCTTTAAGGTATGTTGGCCAGGGCATGACCTGCCTGTCGGCAAGCCAAACTTGCGGCCCAACTCCCCCCAAACCCTAAACCCTAAACACTAAACCCTAAACCCTAAACACTGAACCCTTCACCTCGGGCTGCGGACTCGACTGCCAAGAGTCATGCCCCCCCCCCCCCCACCCCCCACCTTCAATAGCTGCGGTTTAAATTTAGGCTTTAGAGGTTTGGGGGTTTAGGGTTTAGGGGTTTAGGGGTTTAGGAGTTTGGGGGTTTAGGGGTTTGGGGGTTAGGGCTTGGGGGTAGCCTCGTCTTTGTTGCAGCCGCGCTGCAGTACGGCTCCCTACAAGGGCACGGCCGCTCGATGGCCTCAGCTCGCACTTGGCGGCTCTTCAAGGTTTATGGGTCCTTACAAGCAGGGTGAAAAGCACCATAAAATACCATTATATCTATAGTTACCCTACTTATAACCCTACATTAAAGTAAGCCCTAAACCCTTAACCCTAACCCTAAATCCTGAATTGCCTGAGGCCCAGAATCCTCTCATGTCATCCCCCCTCCCACCCACTATGCCGAGGTAGGCCTCGTATTGCTGTAGTTGGTGAGTGCATATATGGTTCTATATCATAAGGGCGAGTGTAGATAAGGTGTATATCCTCTTGGCGATACTAGCAACTAGCAACATAGGCCTTACTTCGGATACACAGTAGCGTACGACCATGAATGAAAACAACTGCAATAGCCTGCGAGATGCAGCCAATCCACCACGAGATTCTGCAACACGCTGCACGTTACCACACAAGAAATGCCATAACGTACTATCCTTGCTATGATGCAGTGCTACGATTGTGGGTTTTAGTGTTGGCAAAGGAGGCTTCCTGTTCCCTAAGTTCCCTGAACCTAACTCCCAAACGCAGGAGCGGGAGGATGGGAATCAACTTCAACCTTTCTTGGGGGACTTCGGGAATCGGGTCGACATAACGTGGGGCCATGGACTTTCCGGTGTCCTGGGGGGCCAAATGGCTGCCCTTTGCCCGTTGGTTAGGGGTTTCGGGTTTTAAGACGTAAATGCCATGGTACTACTGGCGGAGGGTATGTAATCATCATCAGCAGCTTCGCAGGGTGGTTTTTATGGATCCTAACACAAATCACCATCAGATGTGCAGGTCTGACATATCGTACGGTTCCTAAACCCAAACCCCTAAACCCTAAACCCTAAACCCTGAACCCCTAAACCCTAAACCCTGAACCCCCCTTGGTAGGTGAACCCCCCTTGGTAGGGGGGGGGGGGGGGCAGCAAGGTCCCGGTCGCGGCGTAGGGGTTTCCAGGGCATCCTGACGTGAAAACCCCAAAACCTCTAAGCCCCTCAACCTTCACTCAACTCCCAAACCCTAAACCCTGCTAAGCCTAAACCCTAAACCCTAAACCCTAAACCCTAAACCCTAAACCCTAAACCCTAAACCCTAAACCCCCAACAAGCGGCGCCCCCCAACTCGCGGAGATCGCCCGTGCAGATGCCGCACCTGGGACTCGGAGATACTCGGAGGCGAAATGACTAGGGTTCAGGGTTCAGGGTTCAGGGTTTAGGGTTTAGGGTTTAGGGTTTAGGGTTTAGGGTTTAGGGTTTAGGATTTAGGGTTAAGGGTTTCGGGATGACTCCATAGTAGCATGGGGTACTATCTGGGGGGTTCTACTTTTGGGACTCTCTGAAGGCTTTGAGAATTGTTTGTACCCTATGCCCAGAATGCAATGGGTCCTTCCAAAACTCCACTCAAGTATCCCTAAACCCTAAACCCGAAACCCTAAACCGTAAACCCTCTACCCTTATTCTAAAAACCTCACATTCGGCTTGCTCTGTTCCCCTACTGACGGCACAACTTTGCGTGCGGCTCAGGGGCTTCCAATAAGCCCCTAAGCAGCTCAAAAGCCCTAAGCCCAAAACTTTACGGGTTTAGGGTTTAGGGTTTAGGTTTTAGGGTTTAGGGTTTCGAGAAATGTTACGGGTAGTTACATGGTCCTTTAGTATGTGCCCTTAAACGGGGGCCCCTTATTTGCCCCTTATATACCCTATAAAACCCCAAGGGCGCATACTTCAAGAACCCCTTTAACGGAGGTAAGGGACCATATCGAGGGCTTGTGAAAGTACCCTAAGACTAACCCTAAAGCCCGATAAGGCTTACTAAGGGCCCGTTTAATTCCACAAACAGTCTATTGTTGGGGGTCTAAACTGGGGTTCTAAACTCATTTAAGGATTGCCGACATTCTGAGGATTGTTGCCAGGTTCCCTGCTCCGTGTCTCCCTTTGTCTCCCTTTGTCTCCCTTTGTCTCCCTTTGTCTCCCTTTGTCTCCCTTCATGTGGGTGGCTTTGCCGGGTTGCTGTGCTCCTCGCCTCCCTTTGTCTCCCGTCGTCTCCACTGCTCCTCTGACGTGCCTTTGACTGTTTGGGGTCTTCGGTGGTGAAATTTCTCCCTTTCTTGTTTTAGGAGGATTAAACCCATCTACCCCAAAACCCTACACCATATTTAGGAAGCCCAACGCCCTAAGCACAAAGCAAAAAGCTCAAAGCGAAAAGCCCAAAAGCCCCAAAGCCCAAACCCCCCAACCCTAAACCCTAAACCCTAAACCCTAAACCCTAAACCCTAAACCCTAAACCCTAAACCCAAAGCCCCCAAAAACAAGTGCAAGGTGAGGCTCTCCCCAATCTCTTCGTCATTGCCGCCCGCCATCGCCAGGAGGGGGTCGAGTGTTGCGTTGAGGGCTGCGTGGTTGTAGAGGGGCTTCAGGTTTAGGGTTTAGGGCTTCAGGTTTAGGGTTTAGGGTTTAGGGCTAGGGTTTAGGGCTTAGGGCCTAGGGTTTTAAGGCGTAGGGTCCAAGCGCCCCACTTCCAAGGGCAGCTTCTGCTTTTTGCAAGGGTATGAAAGTTAAGCACCTCCGCTCTTACACTTTGCGCACTCAGAGATTTTGAGGCTTTGTTATCAGCACGGTTTGGGCATGCTCAATGCTGCTTAGCTCACTTACCTGAAGGCAGTTGAGGGGTTAAGGGGTTTAGGGGTTTAGGGTTCCGCAAAAGATGGACCCTAAACCCTAAACCCTAAACTCTAAACCCGGGAAGTAAGCTAGGAGTGCTTGGGGTACCAGGGCTCAGCTGAGTGGAGCTTCATTGTCACCGCTTGCAAAGCTGAGCCAGAATTTGCCGACCTCGAACTCCCTAGGGTTTAGGGTTTAGGCTTTAGGGTTTAGGGTTTAGGGGTTAATTATGACCTGCACTTGAAGGATCATCGGGAACTTATGAGTGGGGTTCTAAGTACCCCGAAGAAGGTTGTAGCCGTGGTTAACCTACCTATGGGCTTACCTAATAAGTACACCTGAACCTCCAAGTACCCTCTTGACTAAACCCTAAACCCTAAACCCTAAACCCTAAACCCTAAACCCTAAACCCTAAACCCTAAACCCTAAACCCTTAAACCGCAAATTCCAGGCTCTCTCTGAGTTTTTCAAGTGTGCGCGGGGTCAGTATCTAGACCCAGAGCTACCTTAGGAGCAAAAAGGGTACCCTTTTTGGCACTCTTTGGTTATGAGGGGATTATAAGGGAACCCTAGACCCAAACCCTGAACCCTGAACCCTGAACCCTAAACCCTGAACCCTGAACCCTAAACCCTAAACCCTAAACCCTAAACCCTAAACCCTAAACCCTAAACCCTAAACCCTAAACCCTAAACCCCAACCCTAAAACAAGGAAATAAGGGCCTACTCCGGGTCCGAGGTATCGTAGCCTACAGATGTCAAAACTAAGTCCCACACAACAGGCGACTCCACAGGGGTTTAAGGTTTAAGGTTTGGGGTTTAGGGTTTAGGCTTTAAGGTTTAGGGTTTAGGGAGGTTTGAGGTTTATGGGGCTTTGGCTTTAAGGTTTCGTGTTGGGGCTTAAGGTTTAGGGTTTAGGGCTTCAGGTTCAGGGTTTGGGGATCAGGGCATTTTTGGAGTTTACGAAAACAAGAGACCCCAAATATAGACTCCCAAGTAGTAGGATTCCCTTATAATAAGGACCCCTGAACCCTAAACCCTAAACCCTGATCCGAAACCCTAAGCCCTAAACCCTAAAGACCCTAATTTCGGAAACCCCCATCTGAGGTCAGCCGTCGTGGGTTCAGGGCTTGGTGGAGCTTCGGAGCTCTCGGCCTATTCTGGGCTGTGGTTTAGGGTTTAGGGTTTAGGGTTTAGGGTTAAGGGTTAAGGGTTAGCTTTGGGCTCGACCCCTTCCAGTGGTGAAGCTGTAGTCAACCGAACGTCGAGGGAACGCCATGTTTGCTGTTCCGCATCTTTCCCACGAATATGATTCTGGGGAACCGCGTGATTTGATGAATCATGGCGCCACACATCAGGGAGACCTTGCCACTCCGCCAGCTTGTCCAGTCGGAATGACGGATACTACTTTCACTTGGGGGCTTCAGCTTCTTCAACGCATAGCCTCAGCCAATTACGAGATTGTGCCGCCAGTGGTGTCTTCAGAGCTGGTGAAGGGTTTTCCAGCCGTTCACTTGTTGCCGCCAGTCCCGTGGTCCTTTCGCTGCTTGGGCATTTTGCTGCCTTTTGTGCACCAGAATCATTGGACTGTGTTGGTCTTGCAAGTTGAGTCAGCAGGTCTTCAGGCCACGTGCTTTGATGGCATTCCGCATCGCAACGCCATGGCCGCATCGCAGCTTGCCAATCTGATCGGGAGAACATGGGGCATGCCATGCTTGTCCTTTGCTGAAGTGACGCTTGGGACGCAAAAGGTGGCCCACACATGTGGCCAAATCGCCTTGGCTCACTGCGCGATCCTGTTGCGCCCGTTATCGGCTTCCTTCGAACAGTTCTTTCGATGGGCTGACCAGCTCGCGCAATCCGTGCCGTTCTTGCCGTATGCTGTCTTTGGTGCAGGAGGGCTCTCTGAGAGCCAGAGTCGGCAGTTGTCTGACACCCTTTTGTCCAAGGGCGTTCCCTCAGAGAACATCGCTGCCCGCATCCAAGCGGCTTGTTCCAAGGTTGGCGTGGTGCCCATTGCCACCGCACTGGCGTCAAAGCACCCGTGGGCTGCACTAAAGGCAGCCGCTGGCAAGCCTGGAAGTGCTTTCAGATGGGTTTCAACTGATGAACTCCAGGCTCAAATTGATGCTAAGGCTTCAGCCAAATTCGGCACGACTGTGCCAAATGGGAAAAGCAAGAAAGCGAAGGCCAAAGGTGTCAAGAAGTCAGGTTCCCCCTTGCTCATTGACCCTTCCACGTTGCAGATGAGCCCGGACAGCTTCTCTTCCAACGATGGACAGCCACTTTGCCAGTTAGCTATGGACGAGGTGCAGCCCATGGCACGGGGCATTTGCTTTTGCACTCCAGCTGAGGTTGCCCCTTTCCTGAACAACTTTAAGTCCATCAGTGTTGATGCCCTAGGCCTCTTGACCACCGCAGCTCTACCAGCTGAAGCGGTCGGTGCTGCGCCTGTCACTGCCCTTCGCTATCCGGCCATTTATGGTCCCACTCAGGAGGCCGTACTGATTTCAGGCAGCCTGGTCCAGCTGGGTGACGCCTCCGTGCAATTGACCACTCATGACATTGCTGAAGTAGAGCAACTTGACACGGTGGTGATCAAACTCTCGCTTTATCGTGACCAGTGCTCCATTGGGTGGGAAAGGATTTGTGAAGCGCCCATCCGCGCGCTGCTACAGCAAGTGCCTGAATTGAGCCTTTGTCAGGTTGCGGGCTGCAAGCAGGACTCGGGTTGTTCAAGATTCCACCCAGCAGTTGAAGAGCAGGTTGACCACCTCCTGCTTGACATTTGGGGGCGACAGTTTCAGAAACTGGGTGGGGGCAGAGAAGAGCCTTCCCAAGCGTTCGTCTTTCAAGCCTACATCCGCGTTCCGGCCTCAGCGGTGCCCCATCTCCATAAGATAACTTACCCAGGCCTCTTCTTCGAACCTCGGGCGGCTGATGGATCCGGCCCACATGCCGGCTACGCCGTCGTTTGGCTCCCGGGGGCCACGGCCGAAGAGGCGCGACACGCGCTTCGCACTTGTGACAAAGCCATTGCCTTGACGCGACTTGGAAGTAGGTTTGGCGTGAGGGTCAAAGAAACAGACGAAGAGATTGCCTTCAACATGCTTCGTCCTGCGCACCCATTTGTCAAAGTCCGCATCTCCGCGAAATACAAGCTTCATCCACTGCCGTTTGGTTGTCAACGACAAGCCCTACTCAAGATCCTGCAACACTGGCAGTGGTCTGCTAAGCCACTTCAGCCAGACAAAGGAACTGCAGAAGGTGCTTCTTGGATCGTTGGTGCCTCTTCTGAGCCGCCTGCCTTGGCCCTACCGCTCGGCGAAAGCCATGTCATTGTGACGAAAGTCCAGGACCTTGGCAATGCCAAGTCCAAGCCCCCTGCCCTGTACGCCTCCTCACGTACCATCAAACACATCAGGTACGATGATGGACCAACAGACCCTGCCATTGACCCCTGGAGCGATGGCCAAGATCCATGGGCCAAGGCTCGCCAACAGTTTGCTCCTCCTCCGGGGCTTTCGCTTGTTAAGAGTTCCCAGCCCTCGCCTGGCCCGTCCAAACTTGAACAACTCGGCTCCGAACTCAAACAGGATCTCAGAAGCCTCATGCAGACCGAGCTTGCGTCCAGGTCGGCAGGTCAGGACTCAGTCAGTTCGGCGCAGGAGGCTAGACTTGAAAAGCTTGAGGTTGGTATGAAAGAACTCCAGGAGCAAAACCGTAAATTTGAAGGCTGGTTTGCCACTTTTGGCAATCGTGTGTCTGAGCAAGCCACTACCATTCAAGGAGTCCAGCACACGCTGCAAAGCCAAAGCCAAGACATCCACAGGCTGCGCTCAGACGTCGAGATGACGGTCGGCAATGCGGTTGGCCAGTTGCAGGCTGATATGACCCAACAGTTGTCTGCGCAGCTGGCAGGCCAGCTTGAACAAATTCAGGCCTTGTTCGCAGACAAGAAACCTCGCACATCTTGACTAGGTCTCCCAGGCCGTCGCTTCGCCGTCAGCGCCGGGCCTGTTTGCAAGTTGCCCACCTTTTTCGGCTTACTCCTACAGCTGTTTCTCCTGTTGCCGGTTGCTTGTGGTTTGCAGCATCAGACCGGCGATCGTTCTTCGTCTGTTCTGGGTTCCGCAGTTGTGCCCACTGGAAGTGTGATAGATGGGCAGTCGACTGCCTTCCTCTTCGAGGCTCTTCAGCCACTCCTGGGTGCAACAACTCGATTCGGTGAGGCTGACAATCCTGGTCCTGAGTCGCCGCTTCTGACGATTGGAGTTTCCAATCCTTCAGGCCTTCGGGGGAAGGAGGCCATACTGTTGGAATGCGGCTCGGGCATTCATTGTGTGTCAGAAACACAGCTTTCACAAATCACGCAGCGTTCTTCTAGTGCTGCTCTTCGCTCTCTTGGCAAACAGCAGAATCGCCATGTGCGCACATGTTACGGCGCGCCCGCGCCCTTACGAACTGGCTCCGCTTGGGCTGGCTCTTGGACCGGCGTTGCGCAAGTTACGGATTTCCCATCCAGGACCTTGCAAATACCATGGCCTTCAGGCGCATGGTACACTGGACGCATCATGCTGGCGCAACACCAGGTCGTTGACCTTCCGGTACTTGTTGCCACTGTGTATGGCTTCCCATCTGGGCCAACATATCCAGATGCCAAACCTCGGACCGAGTCCCTGCTTGCTTGCCTGACCAAGGAGCTTGTTCATGGTCGCTCTGGCTTCAGGGTAATTGCGGGTGATTTCAATCAGGACGAGAATGCTTTAGAGCAAATCCAGGTCTGGAGAAGCCTAGGTTGGGTTGAGATTCAAACCCTGGCTGCTTCGCGGTGGGGTCATCTTGAAGTGAACACTTGCAAAAACGCTACCAAGCGTGACATGATCTATGTCTCCCCTGAAGCGGCAGCATTTGCGTCAGCTGTGCAGATCACACAGGTCTTCGCAGACCATGATACAGTTGTCGCCTCTTTCAGTGTTCCTGACTCGGCAGGCTATGAGTTGCGCTGGCCACTGCCAGCAGAACTTCCGTGGGAAGACATTGATATCACAGGCTGGCGCCAGGCCCCATTCCCACCAGTCCAGAAGAGCAATAATTCCACGGTGTGGATGCAAACATTTGCCCGTACATATGAATCAAGCCTGAATGGCTTCGTTGAAGGTCGCCCCGGCCGACAGGTGCCCTCAGCATGCCGCGGACGGTCCAAACGCACTAAGCCTGACTGCCGGACTGCCACTTCTGCGCTGGTTCGAGCAAGTCGTCCGGGGGAAGAGGTGCTGTGTCATGATTTCATCAGCCAAGAGCTCAAGCGATGGTTCGCGCAACTGCGCAGACTTCAAAGTTTGTGTCACGCAATACAGGCCAACAGCCAAACTCCAGGGGCACTGGAGTATAGAGCTTCGTTGTGGAGAGCAATTTCCTCCGCCAAAGGGTTCCAACACGGCTTCTGCGCCTGGTGGATGCGCCGGCCGATTCAGTTGCAAGGTAGCCCTCCGAGCATTCCCCTAGGTCTCCCGGGGCTAGACACGGCCTCTGCAATTTTTCAAGACTTTCGGGAAAACTTTCGCCGTTTTGAATCCTGGAGCATCGGCAAGCGGGCACAAGTTCTGGACGCGAAGTACCAGCAATCCCTAGAACTGCTCTACAAGGACCTACATAAACCCGCTGCCCCTCAGGTCGACACTCTTGTAATCCATCGTGAGTACGCCATTTTGGCGTTTGAGCCAGAAACCAGACAGGTGCATGTGGATCCTCCTTTGGACCTTCGTGGTTCCTCTACCTGGCAAGTTGATGGCCACGTGTTACGGCTTGAACGGGTCACTGATGAAGTTTGCACCTTGTCTGGTGAATGTCCACTGCATGAGGATTCCGAGCTTTTGCAGGCCCAAACTTTGGCAGATGTCTCGGATATTCATGATGAATTCGTTTCTCTATGGGCCCCACGATGGCAGAAACATGCTAGTTGTAGTGAAGCGGATTGGCGTCGGGTCCTGGCTTTTGCTGAGGCCTTCCTGCCAAGGTCCCCCTTCAACCTTCCACGCATTTCAGTAGCACAGTGGCAACGCAGGATTCGAAAGTTCTCTTCTCGTGCGGCGCGCGGCCCCGACGGCTGGGCGCGAACGGATCTTTTGAACATGCCCACTGCGGCAGTTGAGCAGCTTCTAGACATGTTGCACTTGATCGAGGCAGGCACGGCGGCATGGCCGCAACAGATCCTCGTTGGCTTTGTTCTGTCTTTGGTGAAGCCAAATGGTTGCACTGATGCCCAAGGCTACCGTCCAATATGTCTGATCAGCATGATTTACCGTGCTTGGGCAGGGTTGCGGGCAAAACAGACTCTTCTGGCGCTGTCCAACCTTGTTGATCCAGACTCCCTTGGATTCCTTCCGAATCGCGAGGCCACGGAGCTGTGGTTCATTCTGCAGAGCCAGATTGAGCTCAGCCTTCAAGGTCAATCTCCTCTAGCAGGATTTAGTTCGGACATAGTTAAAGCCTTCAATAACTTACCTCGTTTTCCACTCCTGCGCATTGCCTCACGGATTGGCTTTCCGCCAAACCTGATCTCACCTTGGCGAGCTTTCCTTTCAGGCTTTTCCCGAAGGTTTAAGGTGAGGGACGCGCTGAGCCCAGGGGTCTCCAGCTCCTCTGGATTCCCAGAAGGCGACCCACTCAGTCCCATCGGCATGCTGCTTGCGAACATGGTGTTCCATGCATATATGCAGGCGCTTTGTCCAAGTGTGCGGGCTTTGAGCTACGCTGATAACTACTCCGGCATGGCTCCTGAGGCATTTTCTCTCGCCCGAGGCATCAACGCCATGGGCGCATGCTGCGACATGTTGGATTTGCAACTTGACTCCTCCAAGACATTTGTGTGGTCAACTGATCCTGAACAGCGTAAGGTTCTCAGGGCCATGAAACTTAACGTTGTGGAGCACGCCAGGGAGCTTGGCGGATATTTGTCATTTTGTGCCGCCACGCGCAACGCGGCATTGGTTGCTCGCATACACGCGTTGCAGCCTCAGTGGCAGGCCTTGGGCCGCGCCAGGTCCCCTTTAGCGTCCAAGCTAGCGATCCTCCCCAACAAATTCTGGGCCTTTGCCTTGCATGGGATTGCGGGATGTCCTTTGGCATCTTCCCATTTGTCTGGCCTGCGTGCTTCTGCGGTCAAAGCGATTCGATCACACTCAGCTGGATCGAGCGCCCTCCTACGTTTGAGTCTTGTTCCATCATGCCTGGCTGACCCAGGTTTCTATCAGCTCAAGACCACTGTTGTCGATGTGCGCAGGGTCCTACTCAAACAGCCTGCGTTGTTGTTGGACTGGAAGGTTTTCCAGGATCGTTACGCTGGAGACGGTTACCAGGGTCCTTTCTCCAAGTTGGTGGTAGTGTTGGGGCAGGTGGGCTGGAGCATCCTTGAGCCTCCGCTTCTTCAGGACCATGAAGGCCTGGTTCACCATTTGTTGTCCATGCCCCAAGCCCTTTTGATCAGGCTTTTGGAGCATGCTTGGCTCCAATATGTCGCTTCGCAGCATGTGCACCGCAAGACCATGGTGGACTTGGACGGGCTCGAACCTTCCCTGCTTCACATTGACCACAGCCGCCTCACTCCTCTCGAGTCGTCACGTCTTGCCGCGATCCAGTCGGGGGCCTTCCTGTTTCCTGCCCAACATAGGAGGTTTGATTTGACGGTTTCAGGGTTGTGCAAGGAGTGCCAGGTTCCCGATGATGTCCAGCACAGGATTTGTGATTGTCCTCTGTATGCACAGGCCAGGCAGCATTGTCAATCAGTTGTGGAACAGTGGGCAAATTTGCCAGTGTGTCTGACGCATCACCTCTTGGTTCCGCGCATGCCGGAGATGACTGCTTTCCGAGTCGCGCTCGGCAGCATCGCCGACACCACTGCGGAATTTTGGTCTTCCAGAACGACGCTGGGCCGGCAGAACATTTTCACGGATGGGACATGCACTCAACCCGCTATGGCAGATTGCGCGATTGCAGCGTGGAGCGTGGTGCATGCTGGCACGGGTGACGTCATTGCATGTGGGCCCTTACACGGGCAGCTCCAGACAACTCCTCGAGCAGAAATGACTGCCGCTATTGCCGCACTTCGCTGGATCATCAGTCGGCGAGTAACAGCAACACTTTGGATGGATGCCTACCACATCGCTTCCGGCATCAATGGTCTCATTCAAGGTGGGCATGTTTCGGCGCAAGCAGAAAATGGTGATCTGTGGCAAACGTTGTCCGCACTGGTGGAGCAGCTGGAGCCAGCGCAGGCACAGATCCAACATGTTCCCTCCCATCTTGATCCGCATCAGTGCACTGATGAATTTGAGATCTGGGTGTCTACGTGGAACCAGCATGCTGACACCGTGGCGGCCGTTGCAAACGCAAGCAGATCGTTGGAGTTCCTGCAGCTCCTTGAGGGCATTGGCGAGAAGTATGATCGCCAGGCCAACGTGATCCGTCAACTTCGTAGTATGTTCTTTGCTATCGCAGATGTACAGCAAACTTTGCGTCCGGAGGTTGAGCCTGTTGCACCAGATGTCGTCGAGATATCTTTGCCCCTGGTTGATGTACAGTTTAGGCTCTCGGATTTGACCCCGCTGGGGTGGAGGCAGTTGCTTGATAGTACCCCCTCCGCGCTCCCAGCTGGTTTTCTTAGGAGTGTCGCGGCTTTGCTTTTGGAGCAGGATGCCAACCATGATCAGGTTTGCCTTGTTTCGACTTTGGAGCTCACGGTTTGGATTGTCGGGGCTGGTGTTGCCTTTCCGGTCCAAGACCCGGTGAGCAACAGTTGGGTTGATCCTGCTTCCATCGTTTATAAGGAACCGCACCAGACTTTGGCTGTACAGGTGCGTCTGGTTCGCAAGGCGCTGCGGATCCTAGTTAAGCTTTTTCACGCAGAGTCCTGTTGGATTGGAGGCATCAACTTGACGGACCTGGGGGTTACTATGCCTTTTGATGGGTTGGGGCTTGGTGTGGATGTCGGGGTTTTCCAGGCATGCCGCCAACGGATTCAGGACTTTTGTTCACGACGCCCAATTCGGGCAAGCCGTGATTTAGCTCGGCCGCTTTGACGTTGACTCGGACTTCCAGGCATGGCGCACTGCACTGCGTCTCAGCTGTGCATGCGCTTCTCAGCTTCGTGTGATATAAGGGTTAAGGGTTAAGGGTTAAGGGTTTTGGGTTTCGGGTTTAGGGCTTGGAGGTTCCGGGTACTTATAACCCAATTGAAACTGCACTTGTAAGCCCCCGAATTAAGTCCTCTAAGTAGGTTACAAGTAGATTTATACTTGGGGTTAAGTAGACCCCAAACCCTACAAAGCTTTTGGGCACCCGGCGTAGCACGAGATGGTCAAGACGTTCGAGATGGCAGAAACAGAGCCGCCCACCTCTATGTAGGCCCTGTACCCTAAACCCTAAACCCTAAAGCCTATCCTTTCGGGATGGGATGAGAGGAGGGCGCCTCTGCGGCTTCAGGTGTTGGAAAAGGTGCTTCTTGTTTGGGGATGAGTATTTGCTCTATGTGGTTATAATCCCTTCCGCCCTATTCCTAAACGGGGAGGCCCCCCTTCCCACCCCCCCCAACCCCCAGTAGAAACTCGAAATGTGTTTTTAGCATTCGGGGGACGATTTTTTCCATATGCCATCTGTTGGGATAGGGTTTAGACTGGCTTGAAGGTTCTTGAGGCTCTGAACCCCACCCCGCTCCCCCTAATTCGGAATAGGGTTCAAAAGGAGGGGTCGGTTTCGGCAGGCTTTTCCCGAAAGTGATTTTATAATCAGAGGGCGTCTAATACAAGGGGGAAGCGAGTAGGTGTTTTGGGGCTCATGAAGTTTTCGGGTCGGGTGTGGACTAGTTGAGTGAACCCTCAGACTCAGAGGTTGAGGTTCCACATGCCTTAGTAGGAAAAAGGTTTTAACAGCAACCCAAAATATGTTTAAACCCAATCGTGGGGCTAAAAAGGTTTTAATGGCAACCCAAAATATATTTCAAGCCAATTGTGGGGCTAAGTGCCTTCAATGTGACTTACTTCCTGGCAAGGTGCGCACTTGTCTGGCTTCCTGTTGCTACGTAGGCGTTTAGGTCTAGGTTGCCCAGTAACCTAGGATGAAAAAGGGTGCCCTTTTTTGCTTAAAGGGGTTTACAAGGGAACCTAAACCCCCCCAAAAAGGGAATAAGGGTACTACTGGGCATCCTAGAGGTTCTAAGGCATGTGAGGTGTGCTTGGTTCATGCATGGCCTACTGCCCAGCATACACATGCAGGCTCCTGCAGCCCCACGGCACATGACGCAGACACCGAAATCTCAAAGGATGAAAAGTCTGGTGGCTGTTGAATGTCGCAACAAGAGACAAAAAGGTTCGCTCGCATGGTACAACATGTAAATGTCACGTCTCGCCAGCCTTTCTGGTGTGACTATCGGCTTCAATGAACTACAAAAACAAAATCCTAAACCCTAAACCCTACATCCCCTACAGGGGTTGGGCGCTCCGGGGATGTGCTGGGCATACTGAGGGGTTTTAAGGGCACTCCAAGGATTCTCTGGGTATGTTTCATCTCTAGGCTGCCCAGTAACCTGGGGCTTAAAAAGGGTGCCCTTTTTTGCTTAAAGGGGAATTTATAAGGGAACCTAAGCCCCCCCAAAAAAGGGAATAAGGGTACTACTGGGCATCCTAGAACTTTAGGTTCAACAAGTTGGGTATGTAGTTTCAGTCAACGTCCACTGTAGCATGCTTAGTATTTGCGGAGCCTAAATGTTGACAAGATGTTGGCAAAAACACATCACACCCAACATGTTTGAGCATCATGGTAGACAGGCCAAGTGGTACACTCTTTGAAAACAGACACATAGACAGAGACAGAGAGCGAGAAAGAGCGCTCGCGGCAAGGTGCCCGATGTCTGCACTCCCACGGGGTACTCGTTACTTTATACGGGAACCCAGAACCCAAAAAAAGGTAAAGGGTGCCATTTGGCCACCAAGACTTCTGAACCAGATGAACCCAAAACCCGAAACCCAAAACCCTAAACCCTAAACCCTAAACCCTAAACCCTAAACCCTAAACCCCAAAGGCAAGGCAGGGCGCCGTGTAGCCCAGCTGCAGCCGTGTCCTCAGCTCGGCAAAGGCGACCTCCTGGAGGACCTGGCAAGTCTTGGCCCGATGTGGGGTTTAGGGTTTAGGGCTAGGGTTTAGGGTTTAGGGTTTAGGGTTTAGGGTTTAGGGTTTAGGGTTTAGGGTTTAGGGTTTCGGGTTTAGGGCTTAGGGTTTAGGGTTTAGGGCTTAGGGATTAGGAGGTTTAGGGTTTAAGGTTTTGGGCTTTCCCCTACAACTTTCTCGTGGCGCGGCCGTCCTGGGAAACGAGGCCCAGCAGCACTCGCCGGCGCAGGCTCCCCGTGCCAACCAGGATGGTCCTCACAGAAACTTCATGGTTTTGGGTTTAGGGTCTCTCTCTCTCTCTCTCTCTCTCTTTCTTTCTTTCTTTTTTTGGGGGGTGGGGGGCGGGGGGGCGGGGGGTGAGGGGGGGGTTCGGGTTTAGGGTTTATAGGGTTTAGGGTTTAGGGCTCAGAGCGCTTAGCGCCTAGGGCTTAGGGGGGGTGGGGGGCGAGGGGAGGAGCTTACGTTTGAGGGCCCTAAACCCTAAACCCTAAACCCTAAACCCTAAACCCTAAACCCTAAACCCTAAACCCTGGCCTGGGGGAGCTCAAGGAGCTCCAGGGGGCTCATCTGGGCGCCCCGGCATGAGCAGCGCGTGGGTGCTGTCTCTGCGCGGGCTCCTGTGGCCGACTATGCTTCCCAATATGCCCTAAGCCCTCAACCCTGCTAGTATACCCTAAACCCGAAACCCTAAACCCTAAACCCTAAGCCCTAAATCCACCCTAAACCCTAAACCTAAACTATGCCCTGCAAACCCTAACCCCAAACCCTGCTAGTATACCCTAACACTAAACCCTGAACCAAGCCCGGGGTAAGGGTTCTGCGAGCTGAAGATCAGGGAAGCGCCCGCAAAAAACGTTGGTCGAGCACTTTTCGGTGGGATCTGTGCTGCTTCATGTTTAGGGTTTAGAGTTTAGGGTTTAGGGCATACTTCGGGTTTAGGACCTAGAGTCTAGGGTTTGTTGGGTTCTGCCGCCATTCAGAATGTCGGCGGCAGGGCGACCCTCCACTGTGACCGGCTGTTTTGAACATGGGCTTCGCTAGCAATAGCCTACTCGGAGGTTCGTGGGTTTAGGGTTTAGGGTTTCGGGTTTATGGGTAGGGTTATGAGAAGTAGGGTAGCTATGCTTACCTTGATTAGGAGGCTAACAACCCTACTTCTACGTGCCAAGTACTGTAAAGCAGGTCTGGGGGGATTCTTGAAGTGAGCCCGAAAACCCTAAAACCGAAAGAACTAAAGAAAGAACAGTTTTTGGTTTCGGGGATTCTGAAGACCGAAACTCTAAATACCTAACTCTCCGAGAGTAGGTAAGTAAGTAAGTGTTTTTTTAAGCCCGAAGCCCTAAACCCTAAACCCCACGCCCTAACCCTCAAGCCCCTCTAACTTCACAGCATTCAAAAGTTGAAAACGAAACTCCAGGAATCTTCCCTCGAAACTTCGCACCCTCAGATATCCCTAAACCCTAAAACCCCAAACCCGAAATCCGAAACCCTAAGCTCTGAACCCTAAACCCTAGCCCTAAACCCTAAACCCCACATCGGGCCCTTTTAGGGCTTTTAGGGAGCAACGCCTGGCCCTCAGCTCCACAGGCCCGGCGGGGCGCACCACGCGACGCACCTGAGGAAAAACCCAAGGCCTTACAGAGTTTGGGGGGGGTTTAGGGTTTAGGGTTTGGGGTTTGGGGTTGGGGTTTGGGGTTTGGGGTTTAGGGTTTAGGTCTCTGCCTACCGCTACTCGTGAGGGCGGCGCACAGTCCCACCTAGCCCCTACGTCTGAAGGCGGCGCAGGGACCTGCCAACAAAGAGTGCTGCAGAGTCCCAACAAACTGGGCTTGGTTTGGGGTTTAGGGAGCGTTTAGGGTGTAGGGTGTAGGGTTTAGGGTTTTAGGGTTTTAGGGTTTAGGGTTTAGCGTTTGGAGTTTAGGGTTGGGGTTTAGGCTTTTGGGTTTAAGGTGGACAAGGAGGGGCGTGGCTGATCCACAGTTTCCTTGACCAGGCCTTCGCAGGGCAGAAGAGAAAACTGGCCAACACCTTCCTAGTTGTCCAGTAGCCTTGGGGGAATTAAAGGTTAACCTTTGGGACCCCAAAAAGGTCAAAGTTTGGGATAATAATTATACTAAAGGTTAACCTTTGGGAGTACAAGGGGATTCTACTACCCCAAAAGGGTTCAAGGCTACCTACTCTACGACAAGGCCTTTGGTAAGACAGAGACCCGAAGCAAGAAGCCGGGCACGGGCGCGGAGGCTTGACAGACCCAAGTGGAGGCCGAGGCACAGCTCAGTTTAGGGTTTAGGGTTTAGATGGGTTTAGGGTTTAGGGGTTAGGGTTTAGGGTTTAGGGTTGAGGGTTTAGGATTTAGGGTTTAGGGTTTGTAGTGGCTGGAAAACAGGACGAGCAACCCGTGCCACCTGTCTAGTTCATGGTTGGGATCGTATTCAAGATTTAAATTCATATTCCATACTGGGTTTAAGGACCCTTAAGAATGTAAAACGGTACCCAACTATGACCAAGCTGTATGCTGCGCGTACCCTAAACCCTAAACCCTAAACCCTAAACCCGAAACCCTAAACCCTAAACCCTAAGTCTGAGCTCCAGGCCCGCTCACTTGCGTTGCTGGGGACGAGATGGACCTTCGGGGGCGTTTTTGTCCGGGGGGGAACCTGCAGAAACCCTCTAAGTGCAGTTGAAGAGGGGCTGTGACTGCAGGAGAGTTGGGTACATGGTCTACATGGTCTCAACTTTCACGGATGTGGTGAAAGTTCGGGTTGAGGGTTGGGCCCCCTTGCGCGGGTGCATGACCCTACGCCTGGCAGCCTTCTGCGCGGTTACCCCACACCTGCAATAGCGAATTCCAATGGCCAAACCCTAAACCCTAAGCTTTAAAACCTAAACCCTAAAGCTCTTGCGGGTGCGATTGAAGGTTACCCACAAATTCAACGTGCAGTCGGCCTTGTCGCTCTGAATCTCGAGCTTCTTCAGAAGTGTGGCCTGAAAGGGTTGAGGGTTGAGGGTTGAGGGTTTAGCGGGCTTTGTGTGCAAGTATAGGTATTGGTGGGTGCGTGTAGGGGGCAGGGATATAATCAGTGCAAGCTCTCTTGTTTAATGCGGCCATTCAAAAAGGACCAGGATAGACAAAGCCTCCATGACTCCTAGCAGAACGTGAAAGAGAGGCCTCCTTGGAGCGGATTGGGTTTTGTGGGTGATAAGCCTTGGGAACCGTTTGAAGGACTTCTGTTTCTTTTTGTTTGAGGAAGCTCCTCTGGGGAATACAGGGGGTTTAGGCACTCAGAGTCTGGACTTCAGCAACATGGGGTCTAGATGGGTTCAGGGCTCAAGTTGTAGGGTTCGACTTCAAAAAACCAACGGGATTAGTGCTTACCTGAAGGTCACGCAGCAACCCTGAAGGCTGAGCCGGCTCCAGGTTCAAGGATGGGACAGTATAAGCAGAGCATTCTAAAGTGCCCTTAAGAAGGTGATAGCCATAGTTACCCGTCTGAGCCTTTGCCGGAAACTTGCTCAAGTTCGTTTAAAGCTTCCTGCTTATGTAACCCTACTTCTAAGCACCCATGGCATCTCCAAGTAGCCCGAAACCCCTACACCCCAAACCCTAAACCCTGAACCCTAAACCTCAATTTTGCCCCTAAACCCTGAACCCTAAACCCTAGACCCGCCTTTTGAACCTCCCAAGTAGGGTTCCCTGCAGCTGCAACTACAAGGAGGGGACCTTCTAGCTACAAGTAGAGTTCTAAGGACCCTAACTTGGGCTATAAGGATCCTAAACTAGTAGGTTATGAGTCCCTTAACCTAATCCCTAAACCCTAAACCCTAAACCCTAAACCCTACAGTTGGTATAAGGGGGCCCCTCCTTGTAGGTCCCCCAAAATTATGCGGCTCCCTAGCCTGCAGAGCCGCGGCTTCTTCCCTTGGACAGTCGGGGGCTGTTTAGGGCTTAGGGTTTGGGTTTCGGGTTTGGGGTTTCGGTGTGTGGGGTTTAGGTTTAGGGTTATTTGAGGTTTAGGGGTATCGGGGAAGTTCCAATCCCGAAACCCCTAAATCCTAAACCCACCCGCGGAGCCCTTCAGGAGCACCGAAGTCGAAGAAGTGTGCTGGGAGAGGCATGAGGCTTAGCAAGGGGTTAAGACTCGTACCCCTAAGCTTGTACCCCTAAGGTTTCCCTTAAACACGCTCCCAAAATAGCCCTTCTCTATGATCGGAGGAATCTTAAAAAACCCTAAAACCCTAAACCCTAAACCCTAAACCCTAAACCCTAAACCCTAAACCCTAAACCGATGAAAACGAGTGTCCAAACCCAAGGGTACCACCCCAGGGGTCCAAGGTAGTCCCACGAGCCGGGTGCGCTAATGCTGGAGACTGTGCCCTGAAAATTCGAGAGCGACCGTGTGAGGTGACCTCAAGAACCTCCATGGCCTATACCTTTTGGGGTATAGGGTTGGTTTAGGGTTTAGGGTTTAGGGTTTAGGGTTTAGGGTTTAGGGTTTAGGGTTCAGGGTTTAGGGTTTAGGGTTTAGGGTCTTTTCTTTTAGAGCAAGCACCTCTTGAGGATTCATGCGTCGTATATGTATTCCCAGGTTGGGTTGCTTATGCGCATAACCATAGTTCTCCTACATATGCTTCTAGGCTTTACCCTAACCCGAAACCCCCTTCAAGAAGGAGTTGCCGGAAGAAGGAGGGTTTGGGGTTTAGGGTTTAGGGTTTAGGGTGCAGGGATCGGGCTTGCAGCAACATACCCTGAAAACTCTCCACACCCTGAACCCTAAACCTTAAACCCCCCTAAACGCTTCAACTCTGTGACTCCCGGGCTTCCGAGCCCCGTCTCCCTTCATGCACCCTGATTCCTCGCGGCATGATTGCGGCCACCTAGAATTGTGTGTCAGACCCTAACTATAGGTTTAGGGTTTAGGGTTTAGGGTTTAGGGTTTAGGGTATCCACCCAAAACCCTGAAACCTCAGAGAAGCACGAGGAAACGCCTGGCTGGCCGGGTCCCGGGCTTCGTGCAGCTACCCATGACCTGAGTCTAGGGTTTAGGGTTGAGGGTTTAGGGTGTAGGGTTTAGGGTTTAGGGTGTAGGGTTTAGGGTTTAGGGTTTAGGGATGAGGGTTTAGGGATTAGGGTTTAAGGTTTAGGGTGTAGGCTGGCAGCTGGTAGCCATTTCCCTCCTCAGATCCCAAACCCCCAACCTCCGTAAACCCTCGTAGAAACCTCAAAGCCCTAAAAGCCCTGAACCCGAAACCCTAATTATACCCTAAACCTCACACCCTAAACCTCAAACCCTAAACCCTAAACCCTAAACCCTAGACATAAAGCCCCAAACTTTGATCACCCCGATCACCCCTTAACCCCTAAGAACCCTCAAACCCCTAAACCCTCTAACCCTCACCCCTACTTGGCGGCGTTCTTGGGTACACTTCGAACTTTCCTAGAGGACTTGGGAGACATAGGGGCCTTATATAAGTACACCCCTAAAACCCCTAAAACCCTAAAACCCCTAAAACCCCTAAAACCCCTAAAACCCTAAAACCCTAAAACCCTAAAACCCTAAAACCCTAAAACCCTGAAACCCTAAAACCCTAAAACCCTAAAACCCTAAAACCCTAAAACCCTGAGGGCCCTAAAACCCTAAAACCCTAAAACCCTGAAACCCTAAAACCCTAAAACCCCAAAACCCTAAAACCCTAAAACCCTAAAACCCTATAAACAGATTCAACCCTATAAACCCTAAACCCTAAACCCTAAAACCCTAAAACCCTCAAACCCTCAAACCCTAAACCCTAAACCCTAAACCCTAAAACCCAAAAACCCTAAACCCTAAACCCTAAAACCCTAAAACCCTAAAACCCTATAAACACATTCAACCCTATAAACCCTAAACCCTAAACCCTAAAACCCTCAAACCCTAAACCCTAAACCCTAAACCCTAAAACCCTAAACCCTAAAACCCTAAACCCTAAAACCCTAAACCCTGAGGGCCCTGGCGAGCGTGGAGGCGGAGAGCCGCCCTCCCCGCGCCGCGCGGAGCGCGGCGGCGCTGCGGCTTGGGGTGAGCCGGGAGCCTGGTTTGGGGTTTAGGGTTTTGGGCTTTGGGTTTAGGGTTTAGGGTTTAGGGTTTGGCGTTTGGGGTTTTGGGGTTTAGCTTCTCAGGTTTGGGGGTTCAGGGTTTAGGGTTTGGGGTTTGGGGATTGGGGTTTGGGGTTTAGTGTTTCAGGTTTGGGGTTTAGGGTTTAGGGTTTATTTAGGGGGAGAGTGTGCATAGAGAGTTGGCTTTTCATTCCTCTCTTTTTCACGCAAGCAAGGATCCAAACAATCCTGACTGCCAGCAGACAGAGGCGGAACAGAAGCATGACATTTCGCAAGGTCTCAACCCGCCGCGGCAAAAAATCGGCTCGCAAACGTCTCGAAGGCATTTCCAGATCTTACATCTGGTCCCTTAAGAGACGACGTCACAGCTTGCTTCTGGTGTCCGCGTCCTGAGCCGCTTGCAAGCTGGTCCCGACCTTTGACGGATCCATCACGTCATACTTCCCAGCGATCATTCCCTCATACTCCGCTGAAGTCGCATTCCTTACGGTTGGCAAACAAAAAAGAAGAGAATTTGGGCCCTATAGAAACCCTTGAAGGGATTGTATAGGGTACCTCATGCCCCCATTCCCTACGAACCAGCGGCAAGATTCTTGTGGCTCGAAACAGCCTCCTCGTACTCCACCGAGGGATAGTCAATGTAGCCTCCTGGCCCAGGTGCATAGAATGTATTCCGGTCATACCGGTTCAGCCATGGAGTTTCCTATACTGAACTTGGAACCCTAGCAAAAACTAACATTTTAGCTGATTCTTACGAATTATGGCACCCAGACATTAAAAACTATGTCCCAAGTTTCCCTCAGTTTCCTTGCTGGGTCGCTGCTGTCGTGCAGACTTGCTCTGATGCCAGGCCCTCAAACGTTCCGGCAAGTCGGGATTGGAAATGAACCAGCGTCCGAACGCGATGGCGTCGTATCCATGAGCCTCCATGCAGGCTTCGTAGGACGTGGCTGGCGTGAACCCCCCTGCTCCAATCATGACGCCCTGGAAGAGCGAGCGGTACTTTTGCAGATTCACCAAGGGCATTCGGAAGCCTGGATCCTTCTCAGGGTTGCCATCATGCTTGCCGACCCAGCGCGGCTCGGTGACGAGCAGGTACGCAAGGGGATAGTTGTTCAGAGCCCGGATGGCGTGGGAATACACGGCATCCGGCTCCGAGTCGGTGCACCCGTAGAACGTGTTCCCGCCGTTCGGCGCATCGTGGGGACTTACGCGGACTCCCACGGTGCCATCGCCCCAGACACCCAGGACAGCCTCGACCACCTCGCAGAGCAGCCTGCACCGGTTCTCACAAGAACCCCCATACCGGTCCGTGCGACGATTCACGCCATTGTTCAGAAACTGGTCTATCAGATATCCATGTGCTGCATGAACCTCCACTCCATCAAACCCAGCCTCCTTGGCCTTCTGAGCTGCATGGGTGTAGTCCTGAATGAGCCTCTGAATGTCAGCGGTGGATAGCTCTCTGGGAACAGCGAAGTCCTTGATGCCCTCGTAAGTCATCGTCTTTCCTGGCTTGCCATGCCGATTCGCGATCTGCGTCGGACTTGCCGAAACTCCCGGCCGGTATCGCCCTCCTTCATTGCCTTGGTAGCCCAGCAGCCATACTGTAATAAGGGCACCGTTTCTTGGGGCTGGCTACTTGATAAGGGAACCCAGAACCCCTAAACCCTGAACCCTAACCCTAAACCGTAAACCCTAAAGCCTACACCCTAAACCCAATTATAAACCCTAATGGGCCAGCAAGCTACAAGGGTGCTGGCCGTAATCCGGATGCGCCACACGTCCGGTATGCCACAGCTGGCACACGATCAGCCCACCGCGCTCATGAACCGCTTGCGTGACCTCTCAAGGGACTCCGGGAGGGACCCTTCTAAAGGAACTCAGGGCTTCTCTGGGGCTTAGGGTTTAGGGTTTAGGGTATAGGGTTTAGGGTTTAGGGTTCAGGGACACCCTTATTGGGGACCTTCGGGGTTCTTTTGGGGGGGCTATGTAGGGGCCACTATTCGGTATCTAGGGACTATATTAATGTATACACAAAGGGAGAACAAAGGGAACCTTCCCCCAGCCGTCGACTTGAGTCGCAGACCATATTCCTTGGCGGCTCTGGGAACCCGGAAAAAGTCACCCAGGGTTCGGAAAAGACTGAACTTGGCAGCACTCAGGAGGGTAGCTAGAAATTCAACTGTTAGCTGCCTGAAAAAGAAACCCAATAAACCCCAAAAAAGGTAAGGATCTAAAGTTACAGTAAAGTACCACAAAGTGAAAAAATAGAGCTGTCATCCCAACCCCTCTAGAACCATAGAACCTCACCGACCCTGCACACCCTAAACCCCGGCCCTCACCCCAACGGACGAGACACTCTGCTTCCTACCTAGGTAAACTCAAAACCCAAACCCCAAAACCCCAAACCCTAAACCCTAACCCTGATTTGAAGCCACCATGTGCCCTGTAAAACCCCGGACCTGCAAGCCCCAGGCCCTGTCAACCTTGGAAACCCTAAACCCCCTGAAACCCCCTAAAACCCCTCCGAACCCTAAACCCCCCGCCACCCTAAACCCGAAACTCGCTGACCCTAAGCCCCCAAGACCCCACCCTAAACCCTAAACCCTAAACCCTAAACCCTAAACCCTATAAACCCTAAACCGAGACTCCGGGAGTAGAAGGATAAGCCAGGGACTCGGGGCTGATGTGCACGGCCTCGGTGATGAGGAGACCTCCTGGACCTCATCGCTTCAGGGTAAGTTTAGGGGGTTTAGGGTTTAAGGTTTAGGGACTGGGGTTTAGGGTTTAGGGTTTAGGGTTTAGGGTTTAGGGTTTAGGGTTTAGGGTTTAGGGTTTAGGGTTTAGGGTTTAGGGTTTAGGGTCTGGGGTCTAGGGTTTAGGGATTGGGGTTTAGGGTCTGGGTTTAGGATTTAGGGGTAAGTTGAGGGCTTGGGGTTTAGGGTTTAGGATCGAGGGTAAGTTTCGGGATTGAGGTTTAGGGTTTAGGATCGAGGGTAAGTTCAGGGATTGGGGGTTAGGGTTTGGGGTAAGCTAAGAGGGTGAGGGTTGTAGGACAGGATCTTGGCTTTTTTCGGGGTTTAGTGTTTGAGAGACCTCACGACTTGAGGGGAAGTTCACGGTATAGGGTTTGGGGTGTTAGGGTTTTCGAGTTAGAAAAAATGTTGAAATCCTGACAAAAGGAAGGGGTTGCGAAAAAGGGGGCTGAGGGTTTAGAGGACCCTAAAACTAAACCTTAAACCCTAAACTCCCTAAACCCTAAACCCAAAACCCCAAACCCTAAAACCCTAAGCCCTGAACTCCTTGAACCCTAAACTCCTTCAACCCTAAACTCCTAAAACCCTAAACTCCTTATAAACCCTAAAGCCTAAAACCCTGGGCGCCCAGGGACTCGCCCGTTGGCGATAGTACTGCACCGCCAGGCCAGAGGGCGCCTCAACTATTCTCAGGGGCGCCTTGCAACCGTCGTCTTTAGGGGCTTAGATGTGTGTGTGTGTGTGTGTGTGTTTAGGGTTTGGGGCTTGGGGTTTGGGGCTTTCACAAGGGTTTAGGGTTTAGGGTTTAGGGTTTAGGGCTGAGTATCTTCCAGCACGCACTTGTGAACATACCCAAACAAACCACGAAACGGCTAGTGTATATTGGGGAATTCAGCTTTAAGGCATATGTCTCGTGGTTCTGGAAAACACAACCACTACACCAAAAATGATTTCCGAATGCGGCCTAGGTGCTAGGTCAGGCTCGCTCGCGCGGTTTCGCGTCAGTGGGGCGAGCACCACCCGATGTTGAAGGTTTCCAATGCTGCCCAGCTGAAGAGGAGTGAACAGCTTGGAAGGAGAGGACATCACGTCTAAGCCCTAACCCTGTAAACCCTATAACCCCTGTAAACCCTACAAACCCTAAAGACCCTATAAACCCCATATACCCTAACCCCTAAGCCTGGAACAGAGAAGGGTGCTCTGGTTGCACTGGCCCTTGATGTTGACTGCATGCCATGATGTGCAACAGATTTCTGTGTGAACCCTATAAACCATAAACCCTAAACCCTAAAGCGGAAGCACAGCTGGCTTCGCAAGGCCAGCTCCCTTGAGAAACCGGCGGCACTCACATCCGACTCTTCTCCCCCCAGAACCACTTTAAAAATAAATAAAAAAATAAAATGAATAAGTATATATATATGTATATATATATAGTGCCCTTTATAGGGTTGATTCTGGGGATTGTAGGGCCGAATAGCCCATCCCAGTATGGGCCTCAGAGTTGTGTTCCAACTCTTTCTCCCTTGGACTGATTCGTGTGCGCGTCTCTAAAGAACAAATTGCTTAGGAGTTTGTACCTTGGCAAAGAGGGAACAGGCACCCAGTAAACCAAATGTGGTTTGAAGTTAGGTTTCAGGATTCAGGGTATGGGGTAACATATGCCAGTTCCTCCCGGCACTGCGTCCCCAAAGCCCAAGCATAAATAGCCCCGAGCCCAAAACCAAAAGGAAACAAGGAAGTGTGGGTGTGCTGGGGGGGTGTCCGTTCAAAAACACTAAACACAAACGCCTCAACTCTAAAACCCGAAAACCCAAACGCCAAGCCTCTATGAACCCTAGAACCATAGAACCCCACACCCCAAACCCCAAACCCCTAACCCTAAACCCTAACCCTAACTAACCCCTAAACCCAAAACCCTAAACCCCAAACCTCAAACCCCAAACCCTAAACCCTACACCAAACTGGGCCTTCCAGTGCGTCCAGCAGTTCAGAGCGCGAGTGGCTGCCTGGCCTGGGACACCACTCCAGCATGGGTTGTCAGGGTTTAGGGTTTAGGGTTTAGGGTTTAGGGTTTAGGGTTTAGGGTTTAGGGATAATCCCCATAATCAACCCTATGAAGGGCCTGTTTTGGGGAGTCATAGGGTATCATGGCCCATGCTGGAAGGGGTGCGGGAGAATTTCAATTCGGGGTTTGGGGGCTTAGGGTTTGGGGTTTAGGGTTTAGGGTTTAGGGCTAGAGTTTAGGGTTTAGGGTTTAGGGTTTAGGGTTTAGGGTTTAGGGTTTAGGGTTTAGGGTTTAGGGTTTAGGGTTTAGGGTTTAGGGTTTAGGGTTTGGGGTTGCGGGTTTGGGAGTTTGGGAGTTTGGGAGTTTGGGAGTTTGGGAGTTTGGGAGTGTGGGAGTTTGGGAGTTTGGGAGTTTGGGGGCTTGTGGCTTACGGCGAACTTTCTTGCCGGGCCAGCCCTGCTCGCGCTTGCGCATCAGCAAGTGGCAAGATGCATCACCGTGCCGGTTTGGGGTTTAGGGTTCAGGGTTTAGGGTGCTGAGTTGTACTAGAAGGGATTCAAAGGTCGTCAGCCAGCAACCTCAACTGATTCACTTGGGGCTGGCACGTGAGCAAAATCTCGCGCTCACGCACGGCAACTTTCAAGACGGCCTGCCATGGAAGGTGGGCAACTTGGGATGCTTAGTATCTTCATCTAATCTGCTCTTCTTACTGTATGTTTAGGTTAACATATTGCAGCATAAAACCCTAAACCCTAAACCCTAAACCCTACACCCTAAACCCTGTGATCATGGAGCTCGTGAGGGTAAGCTTGGGGTTTTGCCCGTCTGAAGACTTTCTAAACACGCCAAGCCCAGGAGGTCCTGATTGAGCCCTTCAGGCTTACCGACCTAAACTAGGTTTACGTAAACCCTAGTTGAGGGTTTAGGGTTTAGGGTTTAGGGTTGAGGGTCCTAGACTAAGTTCGGGTAAACCCTAAACCCTAAACCCCAAACCCTAAAACCATTTAGGCTTCAGGGTTGGGGTCTAGGCAGGACATAGTATGGGACACTTCTCTTATGAAAACTTAAGCCTCATTTATAGGCTTGGGGCTGAAGGGATTCAGGATTGGGGGATTTGGGGGATTGGGGAATAGGGTTTAGGGTTCCTCCAGCATGACCTCCCAAACCAGAAACCTATCGAAAAGCACACTACTCGGGCTTGCCAACCCTGGCCGAAACCACAAACAAAAAACTCAACCCTAAGGACGGCAGTTTCAAGTAGGGATCAAACGAAGCCACGTAGGGATCAAACGAAGCCACGAAAACCCTAAGCTTTTAAACCGCAAACTCGTAACCCTAAACCCTATACAGGTCATGTCCCTCCCTTTTCACCCTGTAAGCCCTGGACCCTAAACGTCAGACAGTACTGCAGGGCAACAAAGGGCTTTCTGAAAAACAGGGGGCGAGGGGGGTGGGGGGGGGGGGGGGGGGGGGGGGGGGGCACATCTACATCTTCAAGAGTTTCCTAAAAAAAGACGTCTCTTGCAATTTTTGGTGGGGTAGATTAAGTTCCTGTAAACCCCGAAACCCAAAGAATAAGGGCCTACTCTGGGCTCTAAACCCAAAACCCAAAACCCTAAAACCCTAAAACCCTAAAACCCCAAAACCCCAAAACCCCAAAACCCTAAAACCCTAAAACCCCAAAACCCTGAAACCCTAAAACCCTAAAACCCTAAAACCCCAAAACCCCAAAACCCCAAAACCCGAAAACCCGAAAACCCTAAAACCCTAAAACCCTAAAACCCTAAAACCCTAAAACCCTAAACCCCTAAAACCCTAAAACACTAAAACCCTAAACCCTAAACCCTAAACCCTAAACCCTAAACCCTAAACCCTAAACCCTAAACGCAAATCGGGCCTCTGTCTGGTCCCGCAGCTCTTGGGCGAAATCGCTCGTCACCCGCTTCCTGGGTCTCAGCAGGGAATTCGGGGGGGAGTAGTAGGGTTTAAGGGTTTAGGGCTTAGGGTTTAGGGGTTTAGGGGTTTAGGGGTTTAGGGGTTTAGGGGTTTAAGGGTTAAGGGTTTAGGGGTTTAGGGGTTTAAGGGTTTAAGGGTTTAAGGGTTTAAGGGTTTAAGGGTTTAAGGGTTTAAGGGTGTAAGGGTTTAAGGGTTGGTTTTAAGGGTTTGAGGGCTTAGGAATTAGGGTTTCGGGCTTAAGGTGAGTCTTATAAAAGGCGACATGCAGGCTGACATGAGGTACCCGAAATCCTCAGCCTCATTTCCCAATTGAAACCCCCAAGCTCGCCAGCTTTGAGGCCAAGTGGAAGCATGCTGCTTGGGGCTTAGTAACCCTAAACCCCAAACCCCAAACCCCAAAACCCTACACCCTACACCCTAAACCCTAAACCCTAAACCCTAAACCAACTTAGGGCTTAGGAGTTGGGCTTCGGGTTTAAGAAGTTTAGGGTTCAGGGTTCAGGGTTCTGGGGCTTAGGGCACAACACCCCCGCCCCCGCCCCCATCTGAGATTTTTATTGGGCTTAAAGCAACTTGGAGGTTCAAGGTTAACAAGTATATCTGTAGTTATAGGCGCCCGAACTCTCCGGGCAAAAATGGAGCTCGCCCGTGGGCGACATCCTCCCCGCGCATCCTGCGGTCCCAGCTGGAACTGGCTTGTTTCCCCTGGGAACTGGCCGAACTCTCCGGGTCCTGGCGGTGGTGCCCACACCTGCGATGGGTCCTGTGGAGAGCGGTCCTCTGGAGAGTAATCCAATTTCTGCACCTTCAGCCGTCCTGGCTGATGTAAGCAACGCTGTTTCGACCAACACATCGCGGAGAAACACCTGCATGCAGGCGAACGCGGCTGGCTGCCCCTCCACGACTCAGCTGCGGAAACTGCGTAGCAAGCTTGGTCGCTGGTGCGCCTCATCCAGATGGTGAGGGTTCCTTTGCACCGGCAAGCGCTACTCTCACTCTCTCACTCTCTCACTCTCTCACTCTCTCACTCTCTCACTCTCTCACTCTCTCACTCTCTCACTCTCTCACTCTCTCACTCTCTCACTCTCTCACTCTCTCACTCTCTCACTCTCTCACTCTCTCACTCTCTCACTCTCTCACTCTCTCACTCTCTCACTCTCTCACTCTCTCACTCTCTCACTCTCTCACTCTCTCACTCTCTCACTCTCTCACTCTCTCACTCTCTCACTCTCTCACTCTCTCACTCTCTCACTCTCTCACTCTCTCACTCTCTCACTCTCTCACTCTCTCACTCACACTCAGTCACACACTCAGGCTCCCTGAACCATTCACCCGCCCCTACACCCAAAACAAACGCTTCACCCAGCCCTCGCGGCCAAGCTTCAAGCGCCTGATGCCTGCCGGCCCCTCCTTTCGGCTTTCTTTGGCTGGGGAGGGGCGGCTTGGGGTTTAGGGTTTAGGGTTTAGGGTTTAGGGTTTAGGGTTTAGGGTTTAGGGTTTAGGGTTTAGGGTTTAGGGTTTAGGGTTTAGGGTTTAGGGTTTAGGGTTTAGGGTTTAGGGTTTGGGGTTTAGGGTTTAGGGTTTAAGGGCTAGGGATTGGGCGTGGACGGGTTGAGGGCGACCAGAAGCGTATAAGTGTGCAGGATGACAAGAAAAGACACCCTCTTCTCGCGAGAACGAAACGCAGGAACAATAGAATGTAGAGCGCCCAATAAGATCTTTGTACAGGCGCTTATAACATACTAAAAGACCATACAAAATTTATAATGGAAATATAGGGATGAAAGACGCATGATTTCCATATTGTTTTTTGGTCTTTTCTTCACAAGTTCACTTCTTACCACCTTCATTCACTAGTTGTAATATTATTAAAGGTGGTAAAGGGGCTAATATAGCATGGTTATTAAGAGCCCCTTTAACACACTACTTTCCTCGCTTGTTCATTCGGCTCACTCATTCACTTAAAAAGGCCAAAAGGGAAAAATGATAGGGCCTTTTTAGTTCATTCCTTTCACCTTCATGTCCAAGTCTATGAATCATCAACTGTGGGTTTCGTTCTCAAGTTCGCGCATTTATTAGTAGAATTCGTGCAGTCGTCTCACTCTTTTTTTACAATTCCATTATTAAATCGATTACTTAATCTTGTTTCGTTCATAGTATTATAAACGCGCGCGCGCATTACATTCATGATTATAATACGGGCTTTAAGTGCGCGAGCTTATTTAATGTACGCCCGTAATAAAATAATTGGGGCAAGGAGAACGTGACAGCCGCTCTGAAGAATCCAGGGCCTTTTGCTCTGCTGGGTTTGGGGCGGGGCATCGTTCTCACGCAGTGTAGCCGTAGTGACAAAGGGCAGGCTGTGACGACGGCCTCACGGGGCAAGCGGGTCACCCACAAGTCCTGAAATCCAACACAGCTGAGACGAGAACCTGCGCCGAAACTCCATACTGCTCGAATCCCCGAACCCTGAACCCTCAACCGTAAACCCTAAACCCTAAAAGCCCTAGGCCCTACGCCCTGAACTCTGAACCCTGGCCTCTGCTCCCATGGTGAGCTGGTCTAGAACCTCCCAGGGAGTGCGGAGTGCAGAAGCAAACACCTCACACCCTGCAGAAAACAAGAGGGTTTAGGATTTAGGGTTTTGGGTTTTGGGTTTAGGGACCACCCTAAACCCGAAACCCCCCCCCCCCACCTACCATGTGGGGGTGTTCTGTTTTGGTTTAGGCTTCAAGCTGCCGAGTTTAGGGCTGAGGGGCGCGGAGCCCGTACTTGCCCACATGAACGCCAAGAAATCTTTTATGCTTTTGGGCTTAGGGTTCAGGGCACCCTAAACCCTAAACCCTAAACCCTAAACCCCCCGGCCCTAACCTTCAACCCGTCCCGGAAAGTCGACGGACGGAGACCTGCTCAAAGGAGCTCGCAGCGTTGGACGCATAGGAGCCTCGCGGCACGTAGGGTTTAGGGTTTAGGGTTTAGGGTTTAGGGTTTAGGGTTTCGGGTTTAGGGCCTGTTTAGTGTGTGGGGTGCTTTCCCTGTTTTGGGGGGTTCCCTACATGTACAAGGCTCCGTCGTCTGATAGGAGCACCTCTCCCCCAACAGCCCCAAACTGAAGGGGGACCCTAAACCCTAAACCCTAAACCCTAAACCCTAAACCCTAAACCGTGAAGGGAGCCTTGATCTTATTCCCCTATACAACACCCATATATACCTTACATGGCCTCTGGTGGTTGTCAAAACTATGATCCCTTCTTGGGGTACCCTAAATAGGTGCCGTATGATGATAGGGATCCAAAAAAAGAACGATAATTTTGGCAACCACCCATATACCTAAGTAGTCCCTAAATAACCCCCAAGGTCCCCTTATCAGGGTCCCTCCGTTAGTTCTTGGACAAACCCGAACCCTAAACCCTAACAAACTCCCCTAAACTCCACTGCAGCCAACCCTAAACCCTTAAACCCTAAACCCTAAACCCTAAATCCTAAACCCTAAACCCTAAACCCTAAACCCTAAACCCCACCCACGTACCCGCAGAGCACCCAGCTTGGGGTCCGCACGGAGACGCAGAGCGAAGCCCGAGGGTCCTGTAGGTTGTTGAGGTTTAGGGTTTAGGGTTTAGGGTTTAGGGTTTAGGGTTTAGGGTTTATAGGGTTTAGGGTTTTAGGGTTTTAGGGTTTTAGGGTTTAGGGTTTTAGGGTTTTAGGGTTTTAGGGTTTTAGGGTTTAGGGTTTAGGGTGTATAGGGTTTAATTAATGTTTAAGGGTTTTAGGGTTTTAGGGTTTAGGGTTTAGGGTTTTAGGGTTGTAGGGTTTTAGGGTTTTAGGGTTTTAGGGTTTTAGGGTTTTAGGGTTTTAGGGTTTTAGGGTTTTAGGGTTTTAGGGTTTTAGGGTTTTAGGGTTTTAGGGATTTAGGGTTTTAGGGTGTTAGGGTTTTAGGGTTTTAGGGTTTTAGGGTTTTAGGGTTTTAGGGTTTTAGGGTTTTAGGGTTTTAGGGTTTTAGGGTTTTAGGGTTTTAGGGTTTTAGGGTTTTAGGGTTTTAGGGTTTTAGGGTTTTAGGGTTTTAGGCGGTTTGGGGTTTTAGGGTTTTAGGGTTTTAGGGTTTTAGGGTTTTAGGGTTTTAGGGTTTTAGGGTTTTAGGGTTTTAGGGTTTTAGGGTTTTAGGGTTTTAGGGTTTTAGGCGGTTTAGGCGGTTTAGGGTTGGTTCAGGGTCTTGGTTTTGATTTTTTAGGAGGTTTGGATCAATACGTTTCTAAACAGCGTTTAGGGGTTCGTGGGAAATCTTAAGTAGGGTCGAGGGAAACCTTGGCTATGGCAGGTTGTTTTTGCTTTTGAACTTTTCCGGGGCATGTCATGCACATCACCACTTCTGTCTAAACATAAACCTTCAAGGAGGGGAACAGAACGCAGACCCCTGAAAGCACAAAAACCTCACTCCTAAATCCTAAGCCCAATTGCCCACCCTGAACGCCCAAAGTCTACGCCTAAACCCTAAACACTCAACCCTAAACCCGAAAGCCTGAACCCTAAACCCTAAACCCTACAAACCCTAAACCCTAACCACCCGGTCAAACAAACAAAAAAAAGGCCAGGCCCCCGTCTCCTACTGCTACCTTCCACGATGTCCCGGTTGAGCTGACGTTCGCTAAGCGAATGTCCATCAACCTCGGCTCACTTGGGTACGCAGGGTCTGGGGCTGAGGGTTTAGGGCTCAGGGCTACCGGCAGGGTTTGGGGTTTAGGGTTTAGGGTTTAGGGTTCAGGGCTACCTTGGGTACATATCAGTAGGGCTCTAATGTGGGGTACTCCCGAAACCCCAAACCATTTAGGATCTACTCCCGAACTCAAAGGCCGCTTATACTCCCTAGCCCAGACCTTTAGGGCTTAGGGCTTAGGATCCAAAAAGGTAGATCCTTTCAAGGGTTCCTAAGAATGGCCCAGCAGTAGTACCGGGTACTATCTGGAATTCCACCCTAAACCCTAAACCCTAAACCCCAAACCCTAAACCCTAATGGGGTACTACTTTTTGGATCCTCCCAGAACATCTGGGAGCTGGGTGTCCGGCTCACCCAGCATTCGTAGACCAATCTGCAGATTCGGGGTTTTAGGGTTTAGGGTTTAGGGGTCGGTCTAGGGCTAGGCTCAGGGCTTCGGGTTTAGGTTTAGGCCCCTTCTGGGGAAAGTTAGAACCTTCTAAGTGCGACTAAGTTCGGGTAGAGCTCCAGTTCGAAGTACCGGCTTGCCTTGGTTCCTATGAACCTCCACGTTTAGGGCTTTAGGGTTTGAGGGTTCAGGGGTTTAGGGATTCAGGGTTTAGGGGTTGAGGGCTTTAAGGGTTAGGGGGTTTGGGGCTTTAGCCTCTTTAGGGTCTTAGGGGGGTTTGGGGTGTTAGGGGGTTTGGGGGCTGGGGGGTTTGGGGTTTGCGGTTTTAGGGGGTTGAGGGTTTTAGGGGGTTTTAGGGATTTTTGGGGGTTTTAGGGATTTTGGGTTTAAGGAGGTTTGGGGTTCTATGGATTTAGGGCTTTAAGCGGTTTACTGCGGTTGCTGCAGGGACTGATGGCCCCCTGACGCCGTGCGTTCCACTGCAGTACACAATGATTGACAACATTGGTTACTCTTTCGGCTCAGGTATGAAGTGCTTCGTTCCGGGGGATGATTGGGAAACCCTAAACCCTAAACCCTAAACCCTAAACCCTAAACCCTAAACCCTAAACCCTAAACCCTGCCATTCACCTACTGGCTGCCTGTGGCTTTTGCGTCAGGACCCTGATCCCACAGAAGCCCTACAAAATTTAGGGTGTTAGGGGTGTTAGGGGTGTTAGGGGTTTGGGGGCGTTATTAGGGTTTAGGGTTTAAATCTGAACCCTAAATTGAACCCTAAACCCTAAAACCCTAAAATCCGAAACCCTAAACCGAAACCCTAAGCCCTAAACCCTCAACCCTAAAACCCTAAACCCGAAACCCTAAACCCTAAACCCTAAACCCTAAACCCTAAACCCTAAACCATTTCGGAAAGCCCCCGCAGACGGGACCCACTCCCACCTCCAAGGTGACGGCATCCGCGGCCTTGTCCGACTCCTGTAGAGGGCGGAGGTGGTGGGGGAAGGGGTGAGCCGGCTCTTGATAGGTTTCTTTATAGGAATCTAGCTTTTTTAGAAGAATCTGGGGTTTTTACAGGGTTTAGGGAGTTTAGGGTTAGGGTGCAGGGTTTACAGGGTTCAGACTTTAGGGTTTAGGGCAAGTTTAGGGTTCAAGGGGGCTATCTAAGCCAAGATTCCCTAGACTCCCCACCAGTACTCCCTAAGGCTCCCTAAGCTTCCCCAAGGTTCGCTAGGTACCTACCCCACTTGAACTCCCTTCTCTTAAGAACCCTATAAGCCTTTAATAGCTTTTTAATGGTTGTTGTGAATTGGTTTCTGATTGTGGTAATGTTTTATTGCTATTATTGAATTGAAACGGTGCTAACGGCTTTGTATTGGGTTTCCAATGGCTTTGGAACGGGCATCAAATGTTTAAAATTGGGTTTCTAATGGGGTTTAATTATGAATGGGTTTAAGGCTGTCGGGAATTGGATTTAATGGGTTTAGGGTCTTTACGGGAGTGTTTCAGAGTGTGGGGTTGTGGGGTTTGAGGGCCTTTGTACTGGAAACGTCATGTGGGTTCGCATAAATATGTGGATCGGTAATGCAAAAGGATGATCTTGGTAGTTACCGTCTCTAGGTTCCTGTCTTCGGCTTAAACATCTGCATAGCGCGATTGTCGGAGACGATCTTGGCAATTATCTCGGCTCCTGCAAAGACCCTGACCGTGCACACTAAACCCTATAAACTCTATAAACCCTAAACCCTGAACCCTGAACCCTAAACCCTAAACCCTAAACCCAACCCCCCCCACCCAATCCTCCCCCTGTGGCCGCCGGAGGGACACCTCGGAGATGACGTGCGGGGAGTGCAGGATCCTGGAGTCTGACAAAAAGCGGCTTAGGGTTTAGGGTTTAGGGTTTAGGGTTTAGGGTTTAGTTTAGGGTTTAGGGTTTAGGGTTTAGGGTTAGGACTTAAGGTTGAGGGTTCGGAGGGGTTTAGGAGTGACTTTGGTCGCACTTAGACTTAAGGTTGATGGTTTAGGAGTCTAGGGGTGGCTGTAGGGTCGGTTTCGGGTTTCGGGTTTCGGGTTTCGGGTTTAGGGTTTAGGGTTTAGGGCTTATGGTTTAGGGCTTAGGGCTTAGGGCTTGAGGACTGGCGGGTCGGTTTAGGGCTATCTGGGTTTCAGGGGTTTAGGGGTTTGGGATGGGTGCATGGATTGGCCTCTTGCAGCTCAACTTTTTCTCCCGCAGGGTTGCAGTGTCGGATTGTCTTCCTTCAAAATGAAGGGCGTCATAAGCTAGAGCCTTCTCCCTCGTGAGCCCAAGACCCCGCAAGGGTCAGCAATATGCCTTTACTGGGGCCCTTGGGGGTTAGGGTCTCAGGGCTTTAGAAGTCTTAGGGCTTCGGGCCTTGAGGTCCTCACCCTACACCCTCAACCCCTAAACCCCCAAACCGGCCGACTGGCCATCGGGCCATTGGGCCTGGGGGGCCTCTTCGTCGTCAGGCCTGAGGCACGAGAACCTGGCTCAGACGCTTTCCGGACGACTCCGCGGAAGACTCTGGCCTGGGCACGGGCATCAGGGTATTTAAGGGATTCGAAGGCATTAAGGGTTTTTTAAAGGGTTTAGGGTTTAGGGTAAGCAGAGTTAGGGTTTAGGGTAAGCAGAATTAGGGTTTTGGGTTTTAGGGTAGGAAGGATCAATGGTTTAGGGTTTAGCATTTAGGGTATGAAGGTTTAGGGCATTAAGGGTATGAAGGGTTTAGGGTTTAGGGCTTTGGGTATTGAGGGTTTTGGGTTTAAGGGATTCATTAAGGCATTAAGGGTTTAGGGTTGAGGGTATTAGGGTTTGCGGGTTGTGGGTACGGGTTAAGGGTTGAGGGTTGGCATGTTTCCCCTCTTACTAACGGTTAGGGTTAGGGTTTATAGAGTTCAGGGTTTAGGGTGTAGGGTTTAGGGTTTCAACATAGTTGTAGACACACGACACACACACACACAGAGCGCGCACAAAGAAAGAAAAGGCCTCCCAAGGGCCTGCCTAGGCGCACGCCCAAGAGGTCTGACTTGCGTGCGAGGGATGTGGCCGCAGCCGTGGCCGTGGCAAGCGCCTTGAAGTTTCGCTTCTCCTTCCTTTGTCGCGTCCACGGGGGGTTTAAGGTTTCTAGGGGTTACTGGGTTTACAGGGTTTCAAAGGGTTCATGGGACTTAGCTTCAAAGTTGGCCCTAGAAACCAAATCCTGAACCGAGTCGTGCTTCGAGCGACTTTCAATTTTTAACAAAAGCCAAAGCACAAACCCTAAACCCTGAACCCTGAACCCTACATGAAATCCTAAAGCCTTCGGAGCGTCTCTGGCGGCTTCTGGGTGTCCAAGCTGTCCTGGAGACCTGGGTACCCGTTTTTGGGTTTAGGGTTTGGGTTTAGGGTTTGGGTTTAGGGTTTAAGTTTAGGGTTTAAGGTTTAGGGTTTAGGGTTTAGGGTTTAGGGTTTAGGGTTTAGGGTTTAGGGTTTAGGGTTAGGATTTAGGGTTTTAGGTTTAGGGCTACCAAGAGTCGCTCCACGAGCTGTCCGAAGAGGCTCCGCTCCTCCTGCCCGTTCTCCGACTCAAAGATGAAGCTCTCGGGGAAGATCCTAGGCTTCAGGACTTAGGGGTTTAGGGCTAGGGTTTAGGGTTTAGGGTTGAGGGTTTGGGGTTTAGGGTTTGGGGTTTAGGGCTTTGAAGGATTTCCTCCGAAGATCGTCGTGAGTGAAGATCCTCTTACTTGAACCCAAGGGCGCCCTACATAGGGGACCCAAAGAAGGACCCTAATTTTAGAGAACTACCCATGCAATGATCCTCATAGAGAAAGGAAACTCTCTAAAGTCTTCCCTAGGATCTTCTTGATCCTTGGGACGCCACCGTCGGACTTCATGAGGTCCTTGTGGATCTTTTGCAGGTTCTCATTGGCATTGCCCGCCTTGGTTTTTTTTTGGGGGGGGTCTTTGCTTTTTTTGGGGGTGGGGGGGGGGGGGGTGGGGGTGTGGGGGTTAGGGTTTCGCCGACCTAAAGCCTATAAACCCTAAACCCTGCTAAACCTTGGGGATCTCAAGGGCATCGCAAGCGCGCCTTCACCGTCCTGCAAAGCTGCGCCCAAAGGCCCAGCATTGGCACGACAAGGCGCTCCTTGTCGCACATGTCCATGCCTTCGTGCCTTTGGTGGATTCAGCCGGGGTGGGGGTAGGGGTCCTCTTAAAGGCTCAGTTTGCCGTGGCCAGTGATTAGAAGGGCCCATAGGCCCATACTGTATAACTCTACAAAAATTATCTTCCCAGGCAGCCGTCCAAGGTGCTTGCGCCTGCAGCAGGTGAGCTGGCTGTCTTCCCCGAAGACCTGGATGGATTTCTGCAGCCAGTCCTTCATGGGTTCCCCGACTACCCCCCTCTATACTGCCCCCCCTAGCTTCCCCCCATAATTAAGGTTATTTAGGGATAGTTAAGCCCAATTAAGGTCACTTAAAGGGGGATACAGGGGGTACAGAAGGGGGTAATAGGGGAACTGATTCATGAGTCCTCATTGAGTGGGGTGAGCTGCCCACTCTCGGCCAGGAACATGTTGTCACCCGCCTGCGCCAACAAGTGGGAGAGCTGCTCGGCCCTGCACCACGCACGGCACTGGTACGTATCCTTGTTGCCTTGGTAGCCCAGAAACCACCTTGTAACAAGGCACCCCTTGTTTGGGATTGGTTACTTTACAAATGAAACCATAACCAAAACAAAGGGTAAAGGGTGCCAAGTTGCACTCGTCCTCCAAATCCTTGTGCTTTACGGGCGGCGCCACGACGACGAAGGCGGAGACCTTGGCTGCGTAGACGGTGAGGGAGTTGATCGCAGCGGTCTGCGATGGGCGGTGCCTCTGCGGAATGGAGCCTAGGTTGCCCAGTAACCTAGGATGAAAAAGGGTGTCCTTTTTTGCTTAAAGGGGTTTATAAGGGAACCTAAACCCCCCAAAAAGGGGAATAAGGGTACTGCTGGGCATCCTAGGAGCTATAGTCGAGCCAGACATAGGTCGTGCTTTCCTGCCACTTCCACCTTTACTGAACTTGGAACCCTGGCAAAAATGATACGTTTAGCTGTTTCTTAGGAATTCTGGTACCCAAGAATTAAAGAATTCCCAAGCATCCCTAAGCCACTTCTTCATGACCTCTTCCACAGCCATGACCATCTGCTCGTACTGCTTGCCTTCATGGTCTGGTTCTGCGAAGGCCGTCCACTGGTGGGACATGAAGATGACCTGGGTGGTTTAGGGTTTAGGGTTTAGGGTTTAGGGTTTAGGGTTTAGGGTTTAGGGTTTAGGGTTTGCGAAATTAGGGGTACATGATTGGGTTCCTTATTTTCATGGAATCCTACTACTTGGGGGCCTACATTGGCGTCCCCTATTTTCGTAAACCCCCCACCTTGTTCCGGGCCTTGAGCAGGAAGTCGTCAATCTCCTGGATGGTGTGTAGCCAAATGGACTGGGGCAACGTGCTCCTTGGTGGCCCAGTAACCGCAGTATCATAAGGGCACCCCTTTTTTGGGGGTTGGTGACTTTCTAACCCCAAACCCTAAACCCTAAACCTTAAAGCCTAAACCCTAAACCCTACACAGGCCACCAAGGCTCTCAAAGGCCACGAACTTCCCAAGCTGCTTGAAGATGGGCACCTGCAAAAGCACCATCGGAAAGGAGACCTCCTCCGTGGCGTGGAGGGCCTTCGTTTAGGGTTCAGGGTTTAGGGTTTAGGGTTAGGGTTTAGGGTTTAGGGTTTAGGGGTTAGGGATTAGGGTTTAGGGCCTTCTCAACGGTGCCCCTCTCGTGCGCCAGCTTCCCGTAGTAGGAGTTCCTGGGCTGAGGCATGTCAGCAAGCTGCCATGTTATTTGGCTCACGATGTAAGCAAACAGAAGCCCCTAAACCCTAAACCCTAAACCCTAACCCCTAAAGCCTAAAAGCGAAAACCATGCCAAACACCGCTGCCCGGAATCAACAGCGAGCTGGCTACCCGATAGAGGACCATGGCCAGTGTCAGGATCAGCGCCGCAGACAGGGGGATGCCGTTGCGGATGATCGCCTGCCTTTGGGTTTAGGGTTTAGGGTTTAGGGTTTAGGGTTTAGGGTTTAGGGTTCAGGGTTTAGGGTTCAGGGTTTAGGGTTTAGCGTTCAGGGTTTAGGGTTCAGGGTTCAGGGTTCGGGGGAGATGCAATGAAGGTTGAGGGCTTAGGGTTAAACTTTCGTTTCATCCACCCACCCCCCCCCCCCCCCCCAGACGACTCCGGGTCCTAAAAGCGTTTATGATTGCTTGAACCCCTGAAGCCCTCAACCCTCATAGGCCATGTCCCTCCGAACGCTGAGCCCTAAAAACCTTTGAGTCCGAAACCCTACACCCAAAACCGTAAACCCCAAACCCTAAACCCCAACCCCAATCCCAACACCCAAACCCGAAACCCTAAATCCTAAACCCTAAACCCTAAACCCGAGAGGGGCTTCGGGGTTCCTGCGACCCCTCGTTCTGCTCCCGAGCTGCTTCAGGAAGCCAATTGGCTTCGGTCGGGTCAAGGAGAACCTCAGCTGCTTCCAAAAAGTGTGGAGGGTTTAGGGTTTAGGGTTTCGGGTTTAGGGTTTAGGGTTTAGGGAAACTCGAACAACAATACTAGTCATTGTCCCCTTTATCATCCTGAGAAAGAAAGACAAACTGTTATCCCTCATCCTCGTATCATCGTCTAGGCTACTCGCAACGGCCCATGCTCATGAACTAGGCTCTGATATTACCTCTGAGAACCGGATGCGGCCCTACATAGGCCTGCGTGGCCCAGCGCAAAAGGCATCCCTGAACCCTGAACCCTAAACCCTGACAAGTCACCGTAAGCTTGGTGATCCCCAAGCCCCTGAACCCCTACTTGGAGGTTCATGGGTACTTCCTCAACAATGCTAGAACCAGCGTTACCCTTCTTGTGGCCCTGCCTAGAAGTACCCATGAACCTCCAAGTCGAACCCTGAACCCTAAACCCTAAGACCCTAAACCCCAAACCCCAAAACCCTAACCCCAAACCCTAAACCCCAAACCCCAAACCCTAAACCCCCAGAGCCCAGAAGCCGGGTCCATGAGCTCTTGCGGAAGCAGGCCCCCCGGTCGTCCGAGGTGTCGGGGTGGATGATGATCCAGCCACTGGAGGTGCCAAAGCCTGGGTTGAGGGTTTAGGGTTTAGGGTTGAGGGTTGAGGGTTTTAGGGTTTAGGGTTCAGGGTTTAGGGTTTGGGGGTTTGAAGGTTGAGGGATTTAGGGTCGGGGGTTTCCCATTTGAGGCACTTAACTTAGGACTTGGGGGGAGGGGGGGTTAGGGTCTTTAGGGTCTAAGGTCTAGTGTCATATACTACAGAGAAAGAGAGTTAGTTTCCTCGTTATGATGACTCGGTAGAGTTCCACTAGCAGCGGCCCAGTTGCCAAAGGTGTCCAGGTCAAACTTCAGCAGCAGCTTCGTTGTTTGATTGGGGGCTAGCGTGCCGTTGGCGGGCGACACCGTCACGCAGCTGCTGTTGTCCCCCTTCCTGGGCTTCAGGTGGGTTTTAGGGTTGGTGGTGCTCAGGAACTTGACTTAAGCTACGAGAAACAGGACTCTGCAGTATTTGCTACCCATATCTATATACGTAGATACAATATATATATATATATGTATAGATATATGCATACATATATATATGTATACATGTATGTATGTATGTATGTATGTGTGTGTGTATGTAGGTGTATGTTAAGACTGTTAAGGTCTGTGTATTTGCCTCAACCGTATTCGTTCTTGGCAGGTCACATTCTCCCATAATAGATATGCAAGAGGTATTATTAACAGGGAACCGAGCTCCAAGAACACCATAGTCCTAAACCCTAAAACCTAAACCCCAAAAAACCCAAAACCCCAAAACCCTGAAACATCCTAAACCCTGTAGCCCTAAACCCTTTAATCCTATCACCCTATAACCCTAAGCCCTAAAACCCTAAAAGCCTATAACTCTATACCCCTAAACGCTAAGCCTTATAACCCTATACCGCTAAACGCTAAGCCCTATAACCCTAAACCCGAAAACCCTTTTACCCTATAACCCTGAGCCCTAAACCCTAAAAGCCTAAACCCTAAACCCTAAACCCCCTAAACCCTAAACCCTAAAACATTGTAAGCCTATAACCCTATAACCCTGTCACCCTATCACCCTCTCACCCTATCACCCTCTCACCCTCTCACCCTCTCACCCTCTCACCCTATCACCCTAAACCCTAAACCCTCTCACCCTCTCACCCTCTCACCCTCTCACCCTCTCACCCTATCACCCTATCACCCTATCACCCTATCACCCTATCACCCTATCACCCTAAACCCTAAACCCTAAACCCTAAAAACCCTAAACCCTAAACCGGAGCCCAGCTTCCCGGCAGAGACCGTGACCTGGAAAGGAAGGTCCACCCGCCCCGTGTTGTGGAGGGTGATGGTGTCCTCGCCATGCTCGGCCTGGGTTGAGGGTTTAGGGTTTAGGGTTTAGGGTTTAGGGTTGAGGGTTGAGGGTTGAGGGTTGAGGGTTGAGGGTTGAGGGTTGAGGGTTGAGGGTTGAGGCTTTAGGGTTTGGGGTTTGGGGCTTACGGTTTAGGGCTGAATTGGGTTCGGGGGTTGCGCTCTTAGGGTTCTCGTACGGCTAGACATAGGTTGCGTATGGGACTTTAAGACGTAAGGGCTTCGGGCTTAGGTTAGAACATCAAAAATCTGTAGGCTGCAACCGCTGTATTCGAGCAATCGGCCCAGTGGCCTTTTGGTCCTCGTCCTCTTAAACCCAATAAAGGGAAAATACAAAGAATTGCCAAGGCCGACCTAGGTATTTAGAGGACTGTGCAATGAACCCAGTGGCGTCTTTGTCCTTGTCCTGGCCAACGTTAACCTTGGTGATGTTCTGCTTGTCAACGGTGAACCTGACTGCCGTCTGCAGCTCGTCCAGGGGCGCAAACATGAGAATTGCCCACCTGGGCCCAGCAGAGCGTAAGGCAGGACAGCAGGGGGCAAAAGATAGGGCTTAGGGTTCGCCCGGCTTCGGGTTAGAGGGTGTAGGGCTTGGGGTTTAGGGCTATAGGGTCTACTTGGAGGTTCATGGGTACTTATAACCCTAATTGCCTACTTTTTGCCTGCTTAGAGGACTTCGTGGACTTAGGGGGCTGATAAGTGCAGTTTCCAAGCAGGGATTTCAGGGTTTCATAAAGTCCGGGTCCTAGCCACTCTGGATTGGCCATGAGCCTGCAGAAGACGGCCAGGTGATCTCCATCCTATCGCGTTCACTTGGAGATTCATTTGGGTACATATAGCTAGGGTTAAGGGTTAAGGGTTAAGGGGTTTAGGGTCGAGAAGTAACCGGGGTACTGGTTGTAACCTTACTTGGGGTGTCATAACCCTACTGCTACGCACTTCCTCACTCATTTCGACGGGGCTTTGAAAGGCAACCTTGCCCATAAGGGCCCCTTTTTTAGGGTTCAGGGTTTAGGGTTTAGGGTTTAGAGTTTAGGGTTTAGGAACCCTAAACCCTAAACCCTAAACCCTAAACCCTAAACCCTAAACCCTAAACCCTAAACCCTAAACCCTAAACCCTAAACTTTAGGGCTCCTGAGATGCACAACCAGAAAAGCCCCAGCCTTGGGACCGCGAAGAGTCTTCGTCTTGACCCCCTGGGAACAGAGGTGCTCGTTGTAAAGCGAGGCATTGAAGACCTTGTTGAGCACGCCCCCGAAGTCGATACCGCTGTACTGAGGATCCGTGGCATTCTTCCTAGGGACTTTTTGGGATTTTTTTTGGGACTTCTGGGAGCGTTGGGGGACTTAGGCTTCGTTTTAGGGTTTAGGGTTTAGGGTTTAGGGTTTAGGGTTTAGGGTTTAGGGTTTAGGGTTTAGGGTTTAGGGTTTAGGGTAGTCACCCCCTACTAACAAAGGAATTTGCGAAGGACAAAGATATCCTGACAAGCTGGTCCCAAATGCAAGCATGGAACCCCATAACAAGAAGAACTTGTACAACACAAAAAAGTCTAAAATGGTCACTTCTCTAACTTAGGGCCCCCGCTGGGGTCCTTCTTTACATTCGGCGCCTCTAATTTTCGAGCCCCCCCAAAGGGAGCCTATTTCTAGAGAAGTGACCACATGTATCCCAAGAGCCTACCGAGTATCAGCGACAGCGGCGACGGCGGCGTCCACCAGCAATCCGTCTGCCGTGCCGCACTGCAGGGTGGCTGGCCAGAGGGGTTGCGCCTTGCAGGCCCAAACAACCCCCCAAGAAAGGTTTGGGGTTTGTAGGCCTTAAAGGGGGGTTTATTGGGTTTATGTCGGGTGTTTTTTAGGGTTGATCATAGGGTTTGTGTAGGGCTTAAAAAGGGTTTCTGTAGGGTTCCTATAGGCTTTTCGGTCGGGTTCCTAGGACGCTTGGGCTTTAGGCTCCAAGTTCCAGGTCATCCTCACCCCGAGCCGGAGGGACCCAAGGTGGATGTCCTCTTAATCCTATTCTCCTACATAACCCCTATATATATATGTGTGTATACACCTGATATCGTCCCTAGATTCCTAAGCAGCCTAAATAGCCCGTAAATATCCCCTAAGGTCCTTGATAAGGGTCCCTCCTTGCCCTTGAGTGATTCGGTGATGATACCCTGAGAGCTACTCTCATATCCCTACTTCGGGAAGGGCTCTGAGAGTTGAGGGTTCTGAGGGTCTAGGGTTCTAAGGATTCAGGTTTATAAGGGTTTAGGGATATAAGGGTTAGGGATATAAGGGTTTAGGGTCTAGGGTTTGGGGGGCCCCTCTTACTTTCTCACTCTCTCCGAGGCACAGCTGCTCTTCGAGGAAGCCCTTTTTGAAGACGATGTCTCGCGCGCGCCGGCTCATTGCGACCACCCGGCCATCAGCATCTGCAACTACCGCCTCGGTTTGGCACCAATCTAGGGTTGAGGGTTCAACCAACATCAAGGTTTAGGGTTTAGGGTTTAGGGTTTAGGGTGTAGGGTTTAGGGTTTAGGGTAACATACCTAAAGGATCCCTGAAGGGTCCCTCTCGACCGAGCGGCGTAGAAGGTGGGGCTCAGCTTCAGGTTGCTCAGGAGCTCGCCCGCGTAGGTCATGTTCACCGTCATGGTCACTGTCCCCATGGGCACCAAGGATGAACCTCCAGGACTCTTACAGGGCTTACGGGGTTGTTCATGGAGATTATATATTAAACAAATAAATGAATAAATACATAAATAAATAAATGAATAAATAAATAAATGTAAACAAACAAATAAATAAAGAAATGAATATCTGTATATATATATATATATATATATATACATCTATATATACATTCAGGGTTTATGTGGGGTTCTGTTTGGGCTTACAGGGTTCATCCGGTTTATAGGCGGGTGGGAACCGTAACCCTCAACCATAACAACAAGCTAACACGCTGAAGCCCTCAACGCCCTAAACTGCCAAAACTCAAAACCCTTCATACCTTTAATAGCCGTAATACATGTCCTTCATACCTTCATACCATTAATACCCTCAACCCTAAACCCCTCACTACCCTACCCTAAACCTTACACCCCTTACTACCCATAACCCTAAAAACCCTAAACCCAAAACGCCCTAAAAACCCTAAAAAAACCCTAAGCCCGAAAACACCCTAAAAAGCCCTAAAAACCCTGAGACTACACTCGCATGCTTGCGGCTCTCCGGTCCCTCAAGCTTCAAAAGCCCTGATGGATCAGGGTTTTACATGGTTTGTTTGGGTTGTTAAGGGTTTAGGTTTGGGGTTTGGGGTTTGGGGTTTGGGGTTTAGGGTTTGGGGTTTGGGGTTTGGGGCTTAGGGACTTGGTTTAGGGTCTCTTGCTTGACGAAGGGGTTTCCACACATCGGGTTGCGCCCTGACTGGGGGTGGGGGAGGGGAGGGGGTTTGGGAGCAGAAGTCGGGGATCGCGCCAAATCTGCGGGGTATTGGTCTCCGAAACCCTAAACCCTAAACCCCTAAACCTCAAAACTCCTAAACACTAGACTCCTAAACCCAAAGCGTAGGGGGGGTGGGGGGGTGTAGCAACCTACTGGCTCTTCAGTCGGGAAGTTCTGAATCAGATCTCGGGGACTTCGGGACTTCTACCTTCAACCTGAGGGTTCGTTGAGGGTTCTCAGGGCTTGGGGTTTAGGGTTTAGGGTTTAGGGTTCTCAGGGTTTGGGTTTTAAGGCTTAGGGTTTAGGGTTTAGGGCATTTTAGGGCTAAGGGTTTGGGGTTTAGGGCTTAGCGTTTGGGGCTTACGGCATTTTAGGGCTAAGGGTTTGGGGTTTAGGGGTTTGGGTTTGGGGTTTAAGGGCTGTTGACGGAGAATTCTTGGGATCCCTGTGTAACCCTTAGGCTCAGCATAGCCAAGTGTAGTATGATCACCTTCCCCCCCCCAAAAAAAAAACCTTAAAACAAGAGTCCGTCAAGCCTTGCATGGAGGGGATACTGAATAGCCCTGCTCGGAAGCACCCATGAACCTTCAAGTAACACTAAACCCTAAACCCTAAACCCTAAACCCTAAACTCTAAACCCTGAACCCTGAACCCTCAACCCTCCCCACCTCCGGCTTCTTCGCGGCTCCGGAAGGCTACAACCGAGGCTTCGCTGATGAGGTCGCTTGTCACTCGGCTGGCGGCGGCCTTCTTCCAGTGCAGCGGAGCACCCTCCTGGGAGCCCGCGAAACCCTAAACCCTAAAAACTAAGCCCTAAGCCCCAAGCCCTAAACCCTAGCCCTAAACCCTAGCCCTAAACCCTAAACCCTGAAATCCTGTGAGCATTCAGGTTTCCATGGGCCATGGAGTTCTGGAGGGAGCTTACCGGCCCTGCGTTCAGAGTCGTGCTCTAAGCCGTTTGAGAACACATGATCTGTTCCCTTTAGAGGCATTAACAACTAGGCAGTAGGTTAGAACACCCGACTTATACAGGGTGGGGCCCCCTAGTTATAAGTAGAGTTATAAGGGCCCTAAATTGGGTTATAAGGACCCTAAGTTAGGTTATAAGTCCCTTAACTACAGTTAGTATAGTAAGGGGGCCCCACCCTGTAGCCCCAGGCAAACGTGGCCCAGCTTCAGTGGCGACCGGAGACGCCGGATTTGCGGGCTGCGTCTGACTGAAGACCCTACGGTAGATCTCGGGGTCGATGACGTTCGCCACTGGCCGGTCGATGCATGCCCAGGTCAACTTGTCCGAGGTCGCCGACGCGTCCTGGTGTAGGGTGTAGGGTTTCGGGTTTGAGATGTAGGGTTTAGGGTTTAGGGTTTAGGGTTTAGGGTTTCGGGCTTAGGGTTTAGGGTTTAGGGTTTGGGGCGTCCTTGTCTGCCAAACTTGCGGTGGTCCAAAGGTGCATGACGATGGCAGGGTCATTGCCGAAGTATTGCAGCCTTGTGTGCAGACCAGGTGTGAAGATGACCTGGATTTGCCCAGCAAAGGGTTTAGGGTTTAGGGTTCAGGGTTTAGGGTTTACCCCGCACAGTCGGTGGAAGCCCCCTTCCTTGTGTTTCTGCGCAAGGACACCCTAAACCCTAAACCCTAAACCCTAAACCCTAAACCCTAAACCCTACCAATTCTCAGCCCAGTAAACAGGGAATCAGGGCGCTCTATCCTGGGCTTCCCCTACTATTTGCTTAAGACCCCTCCAAAAAAAATCCCTATATTGCCCACATTAAGGAAGAACTTTTTTTTTGTTTTTTTTTTTTGGGGGGGGGGGATCTCAAAGCAATTGGTAGTCCCAGCGACCTTTTCGCTGGCTGAGAAGTCGTCCACGCCCCCTCCGAGCATGGCATAGTGGAGGCCTTCATTCGTGCGAGGGTCCTGTACCGCCTTGTCGGGCGAATAGGCCGTGCCTGTGCCTTGGTTGAACAGTTGAACGTGGAACCCTAGCAAGGGTTTAGGGTTTAGGGTTTAGGGTTTAGGGACTTTTCTAGCTGCTTCTTAGGAATTCTGGTACACCCAAAAGTAAAAGTTAGTCCCAAGTATCCCTAAGGTGCTTGGCGGCTGGGGCAACAGGAGAATCCTCTTGGAGTTGTAGGTGGTGAAGCGGATGCCCGAGCAGTTATGGCCCTCGCCTGGTCGGCAGTCTTGTCCGTTGCATGTGCTCATCCTGGGTTGCTGTTAAGGATCTTTGTGGAGATACCGCAGTAGAGAGATAGCATAGGAATTTTGAGATAGCAGGTCATGCTTCAGCCCGAGCCCGAGACCTCAACCCCCAAACCCTGCAAACCCGAAACCCTAACCCCCAAAAACCCCTAAACCCTAAACCCCTAACCCCCCAACCCTACCTGCAACCCCACTTGCCTACAGTGCAATAGTAACAACACCCCTCATGAATAGGTATAACCCATAAAAAACTGTGGGTATTTGGACTGACAGTAGTCTCGAATTCCCTGAATAATTCAGGGGTGTAACCCCATAAAAACTGCAGGTATTTGGGGTTACAGCCTGTAACCCCAACTACCTACAGTGTAGTTTCGAATTTGCCCCCTGAATTCACAGGTATAACCCATAACAAACTGTAGGTATCTGGGGTGACAGGCATAACCTCAACACATCCACCCGGCACCCTAAAACCTAAACCCTAAACCCGACCCTAAACCCTAGACCCCACAAAAATGGGCTCCCAACATCCACCCGGAGCATCTGTTCCAGGGTCTTTGGCTCCTCGTGCTTGCTTGTCAGCTCAGCTTTGTCGGCACGCTGGAAGAGCTTGGCGAAGATTCCTTGGGAGGGTTCGAGTTTAGGGTTTAGGGTTCAGGGCTTAGGGTTAAAAACCCTAAGCTGTAAACCTGAAACCCGGGAAAGGGGGGGGGGGCCTAATGTAGAGAACTTCCCATATCCAGGGGTTCAGAGGTTTTGGGGGTTGCGTAGGTCCCTTAGTGACATATATGGCGGGGGAGGGGTCCCTTAAACATGGGTAGCCTTCTTGGTATTTGGGGAGGATAGGGTTTAGGGTCTAGGGTTTCTGAAACCCTCATACGTCATCCAGGCTTCAAGGTTTCCAGAGCAAAGGTCGGTTTTTTTTCTCCGAAAGGGGAAGCTAGTAGATAGGTCGCAGTATACAGTATACATACCTACATAAGACTTGGCATACATGCCCCTGAACATGACTAGAAGTAGAAACAAGTACGAATACGTATATACATAGAGGTATAGTTCTGTGATACGAGTTAATACGCGATAACTCCGAAGCTCTAGAAAGTGAGAAATGTATAACAAAAGGGGTACAGGACCCCAAATTGAGGGGGCACCAATGACCCCCTGGTTCTGAGTCGGGAATTAGGGAATTCGGGCCCTATATAATACCCTTTAAGGGATTACACAGGGTACCTGATTCCCTCATTCCTTATTAAGGACCAGCCAGTTAGGGTTTAGGGTTTAGGGTTCAGGGTTTTAGGTTTAGGGTTTAGGGTTTAGGGTCTAGGGTTTAGGGCACCCTTGGGCCACCCAAGGCTCGGAGCAAGTTGTTCGTCCGCAGGAGCTCACAGTCCAAGGAGGAGGCCACAGTGGAGGCCATGGTGACAAAGACGCTCACCTCGGCCGGAAAGCGCGAAACGACGCTCGGAAGGTTTAGGGTTTAGGGTTTAGGGTTTAGGGTTTAGGGTTTAGGGTTTAGGGTTTAGGGTTTAGGGTTTAGGGTTTAGGGTTTAGGGTTTAGGCTATATGGGGGTGTTCAGGGTTTGGGGTTTAGGTTTAGGGTTTTGGGTATTGGGTTTAGGGTCCCTGTTCTGGCCCAGCCACTGAGCAGGCCTCTGGCAAGGAAGTCATTGCCTCGGAACAGCCGTGGTCTCGGAAGGACCATTCCTTAGTGGTCCCGTATCCTAGGGCCTTAGGGAACCAAGCCCTAAACCCTAAGCCCTAAACCCTAAACTTTGTGGGATGGCGGGAGTACACCAGAACAAGGGTTATAAAAGGCTACCTACTCCGCAAGATTCCTGGAGTGACGTAGATGCCTCCAGGTCCTCCTTCTCGTGCTCCAAGTGCCTGGGTCGTTTAGCGTTCAGGCTTGTCCCCTAGCCTCGCAAGAAGACAGCGTTTAGGGTTTACATTGTCTTGTTCAATAGGGGGGTTGTAAGAGGCACCAGAAACCTGGGCTCAGAAAGGAACAGGAAGCTACCCCAAAAAAAGTAAACCCTCAACCGTAACCCCTAAAACCCTAACCCCCAACCCCTAAACCCTAAATCCTAAACCCTGAACCCTAAACCCTAAACCCTAAACCCTAAACCCTAAACCCTAAACCCTAAACCCCACCCCTGTGCATCCCAAGGTTCTCTGTGTCGAGGCCGCCGCGGGCATCTTTGCTCAGGTCGGAAGGCCGCGCCGCAGGGGTGGCATGAAGCCTTGGCTGAATGCGTGGAGGTTCATGGGTACATGTGGGTAGGGTTTAGGGTTTAGGGTTTAGGGTTTAGGGTTTAGGGTTTAGGGTTTAGGGTTTAGGGTTTAGGGTTTAGGGTTTAGGGTTTAGGGTTTAGGGTTAGGTTTAGGGTTTAGGGTTTAGGGTTTAGGGTTTAGGGTTTAGGGTTTAGGGTTTAGGGTTTAGGGTTTAGGGTTTAGGGTTTAGGGTTTTAGGATTTAGGATTTAGGGTTTAGGGTTTAGGGTTTAAGGTTTAGGGTTTAGGGTTCAGGGTTTAGGGTTCAGGGTTCAGGGTTTAGGGTTCAGAGTTTAGGGTTCGAGGGCTATAGGTAAGGTTCTAAACAAAGTTACCCTACTTATCACCCTACTGATAAGTACCCATGAATCTCCAAGTAGGGTTTAGGGCCTAGGGCCAGACAGGTTAACTTTTGGGCTTTGTTGTAGTTTGGGGCTGATAAATATCCCAAAAAAGCTAACCCTAAACCCTAAACCCTAAACCCTAAACCCTAAACCCTAAACCCTAAACCCTAAACCCTAAACGCCCTAGACCCTAAACCCTAAACGCCCTAAACCCTAAACCCCAAACCCTAAACCGCACCCAAGAAGCTGCAAGAAGCAGAAGAGGCCAACAAGGCAACACCGAAGGCTGTGTCGCGGCTTCGGGAGGACCATCTCCTTGGTAGCCCAGTAACCACATCAGGGTTTAGGGTTTAGGGTTTACGGTTTACGGTTAAGCCCTATTAGCCACATGGTAGGCCGGTAACAACATTATAGTAAGGGCACCCGTTTTCGCGCTGGTTGCTTTATAAGGGAACCCATAGCCAAACAAAGAGGGTCAAAGGGTACCACAGGGCTACCAAGTCTCAAATCATGGAGCCGACCGAGTCGGATGAAAAAATGCGGGTTCTCACACAACTGACTGACTCGTCTCTGCCCGTCTCTGCAGCGCGCAGAAGAGCACGCCGACAATGCGGGAGCTTGGGCCAAAAAGTTGCACATAGTCCAGAGGGGCTCTCCACAACATAGGGAAGCCTGCAGTCTACAAATACAGTTAATACAGGGGCTTTTCTAAACCCTAAATCCTGAACCCTAAATCCAAAACCCTAAACCCTGAGAATTGACTCAGGCTCCTGTGCTGCCTTCGGGCTCCTCGATTATTTTCGTAGACCCCCATATCTGGGGCTATAAGAAGGGTAGGCTAAAGGCACTAATAACCCTACGTATACCTACCCTAAATCTTAACCTGCCCTACACCTATCAACCGTGAACCTTAACTAACCTACCGAATATAACTTCCAGTGTTTTAAACTCCCCCCCCCCGGTCGAACTAACATGGGGGCGATAGGGTTAGGGCAAGTCCCTGCTAGTGTCTGGAATAGAGAAAACTTCATACAGTATGTGGGGCAAGAAGGGCCCCTAAGCTGAAACCCCGAAGATCCTAAACCCTGCATCCCAAACCAACACCCTATCAACCCTTACGAAACCTTTCCGAAACACTTATGAACCAACCCTGAACCTTAAGGACCCTTTTGAAGCCCCCAAACCCTAAACCCTAAACCCTAAACCCTAAACCCTCAACCCTCAACCCTCAACCCTCAACCCTAAACCCTAAACCCTAAACCCCAACCCCTAACCCCTAACCCCTATACCACATCACCCTCCCCCTCATGTCGGTCCAGCCCTCGCGGTACCACATTTCGGGCCTGGGCTTGGGGGCCGAACTGGAATGCTATGATCATTACACGCATGGTAGGGGTCTGCAGTTTAGGGTTTGGGGTTTAGGGCTTAGAATGTGCAGTTTAGGGCTTAGGGCTTAGGATCTGATCGTCATCTGTATCGGAATTCATGGTGCAAGTCTGATTGGGAAGTGCAAGAAACATTGTCGCTACAAGCAGTACAAGTTTTGTCGTGGCTAGTATCACAAGAAATCGTGCGACTATAATTAGTATTGTTCATGGTTGTGTGATTTTACGCATATGACCTGTCTTACCGTTCTTACCAGTATTGCCGTCATGATCATGAATATCGTTCGCATCATCATTGTCGGTCGTTACAATCATTACGACATGCATTGCATTGTTATCCTCGCTATCCATGCTGTTGTGTTCTCTTTGCTTGTTACCATTGGTGTAAACCCTAAACCCCAAATACCGAGATCTTGCTAGGAGCGCGCTGGGCAGCAAGGCGACTACGGTGCATCCGGCAAGCTCGAACTCAGCCCTCAACCCCAAACAGCTAGACTCAAGAGTAGCTTAAGGCTTAGGGTTTAGGGTAGACCCAAGAGTAACCTAGGAATGAAAAGGGTACCCTTTTTGCTCCAAAGGCGCTGCTAAGGGACGGTGACCCTAAACCCCCCCAAAAAAGGAGGAGGACAAGGGTAAACAGCAAGCCCTGCAGCTCTCCCTAAACCCTAAACCCTAAACCCTAAACC